TGCTGAACCAAAAATGTGAATGCCTTTAAATATAAATATACTGTGCAGTCTGCTGGACAAGGATTAACTCCACTGATTTTCATGAAGATGACTGATGACACAGTTTCCAATCCTGTGCTCACAAAACACATGCAATTCGCGCTGTCTTTGGTGAAAGTTTGGATGATTGAATATGAAGGCAGTTATGGGATCTCAGTAAGAAAAATATTCAGAAGAAAATCTGTTTTCAACCTAAAGTGCATTAACAGTTGATCATAGTCAAAAAAGGAAAGAGCAAGAGAAGAAAGGGGTATGCTGGAAGGAGTAGGCTGTAAACCCAATGGTGTGAAACTGTGTGGCGCTTAACATTCTGGTTTAATTTTCATGCTGATTTAAAGATGTTACCATTGATCTTCAATATGAAGCAACGATTTACTGCAAACTTGTTTTGTGTTATTCAGACTTTTAATGTTTTGGAAAAAAAATGTTTACACAAATAATGGGATCTGAGATTTGGGCTTAATTTAGTTTTTAATTGTCTGCAGCTGTGATGAAAAAATGGGCAGGGGGAAGAGACTGATTTGGAGGCATCCTTAAGGAAACTTCATAAGGTTATTTCTTGCTTTCCTGAAGAGGCCCTTCTTCTTCCTGTGCAAAGTATAGAGAAGTCTGTGGATGAAAATTAGATTGCTGTGTGGAAATGAGGAAGTCACATGCACAACTCTGTAACTGCTCTGTAGTGTCCTATCAATGCCCAGTTCCCAGACTAGGCAAAATGGCATGAAAAGAAAACAGAAGTCTACAGCTGTTCAAATCCAGAGAGTTACCAAAGTCAGTAGCTGTTTTCATGATACTACTAAAAAAAACCTGTGTATATTACCTAGAGTTCCCAACATCTAATAACATTTGTTAATGTGAAATTATTTTTTTCTGTATTCCCTGCAGCATGGCTGTGGAAATTTTGTGCGTGTGATACAGTCGTACAATCGCACACACCTGTATGTCTGCGGCAGTGGCGCCTTCAGCCCCGTGTGTGTGTACGTCAACAGAGGGCGCAGGTCCGAGGTAAGTCCCATTGCCTTTTTCCACTCATTTTGTGGTGGATCTTACACGTGTTGCGCAAAACTCGAAATTCTGAAAATGCTGAAATCAATGACCCAAATATAGGTTCCTTCACCCATGTTAAATAGAAAAAGAACAAAGATCCATAGCTTTCGGACCTGTTACCAGCAAGAAGCAAAGCCGTGCCTCAAATGTGATATTTGTCCAAAATTCCACAGTCATGTCAAATGCTGGGCTACATTTGATACTACTTTCTATTTGACATTGTCTGGTGAATTCATTCCTACTATTTGTTGGAAAAATTGCCAGGAAATACTTGAAAGAAAATAGCCAGTTAGATAAAAAGTAAAATATGCAGTCCTCTCTTTATAACTTCCATGTGTTACTGATTCCTGGGAGAAGCTCTTAGTGGGCCAACTGTTCAGGTATGTGAAGGTTTGCTGGCCTTCAGGTTAATACCCACTAGATGCAATGCCAGTACCAGTAACTTTCATCTACTGCACAAGTTTTGCCCCAGTAGGTGCTGGGATGAAGTTGGTAAGTTTCCTCATCACTGTGGGATCTTCCGGAGTGTAAATCTTATTTTCTCTAGGTAGATCTCTAGTTTTTCTATATTCAGTTTCACTGTATATTTTCAATATACAAAGTACCAGATGTTTCCTAAGTATACTGTCCAAGTTTCCTGATTTGAAAGTGAAATGTTTGTTTATGTGCAAATGTAATAGGTAATAAATTAAGCAACCAGAGGAGAAAGAAGAGCACTTAACCGAGACCCAGCACCTCAGTAGCTTTTGAGTCAGATTCATGTCTGCAGGCAGAGAGGTGTGCAGTGTATTTTCCTGTGCAATGTGGAAGCAGATGTGTCGGGCAGGAAGATCAGAGCGTGCTACCTGGAGTTTTGCCATGCAAGGGCAGCTTTGAAAGCTGGGCTGGCTCCTAGGGAAAAGACTGGGAAATTCATCACTGATTTCATTGGGAGTGGGATGGGAATTCTGGCCAAGACACAAGACTGCTGAAGGGGTTGCCAGGGAGGTGATTAATCATTGTTTCTTCAGGTAGGTTTGCATGGGATGATCTCAGTGACTTTTGGTAGATCCCTACCTGGCTCGAGCCTCCTTGATGGAGTACGTAGTCTGAATTAGCACCTTCAGTCCTAATGAATTATCTAAAAGTAGAGGTTCGTAGGCCTGGATTTAAAAGCACAAGCAATCAGAGCTGAATAAGTAAATCCATCCTTCTAGTTAACGGAGTCTGTATTAACTTATTTTGATGTATTTTGAAACCAAGGTCAGCTTTCCTCAGCATTATCCTATTTCTTGACAAATTATTTAAAACATGGAAAGTGATCGCATTTGTTTCTAATTAATGCAATATTCCTTTATCAGCTTAAGTAGTAGTACCGTAGCCCAGAGAACTCTGAATCTCATTATTTTAGGTTTTTTGTAAATGAGGTTGGGGGTTGGAGGGGGAGTTTGGGAAATGACATCTTCAGATGATGCAAGAACGTTAAATTTCTTAAGTTAAAAATAAAGATACATGTCTTGGAAGAGCAGAACTGAATTCACTTAGCCTGTCTGTATAGCTACAGGCCTATGATCAATTGATTAAATAAACTGCTGTTTCAGACGTCTGGAGTCTGTCAGACACTTGACTGTAGGCATCGCATGCTCAAAGCCATTACTGTACAGGCCAACAATAGCATAACAGTTTAAAACCAAGCATTTCCTTCTGAACTCATTGCATAGATCAGTGCATGACTAATTAATAGAGCAGAATGCAGAACTATGTGGTGCTGATGGGACTAGTTAGAACTCATTTTTTTCCCTTTTATCATTTCACTTTTAATTTAGTGTGCAGTTTGCAATGCACAGAAGGCTGGTTTTGCACGTGCAAAATAGATATTTTAGAAAGCACATCTGGTTTTCTCTAGAAGCTACGAAGCCTGACAGTAAGAGTCATATCCAACAATCATAAGAACTGGGCCTGTTTTGCTCTTTTGTCTCCAGGATTCCACATAATCTCACAAAAAAGGTGGTTTTATTGATGAAGCAGAATGTTGCCCTTTTCTCTGAAGCAGAGGTTAAAAAATAATTAATTTTCTTGCTTGGCACACTTGGTACTTTGGTCTTTGGTAATGACTCTCTTAGTCACCCAAATATATTCTAATTTCAAAGTAAATGCAAACAGAAGGAAATGTAATCACTATGTGAATTAATTATAGACTAAAAGGTAGTTTAATATATATGAAAATCAAGTGTAATCCTGGAGCTAGTTTAATAGTGCAGTAATAGGCATTTTGAAATGGTAAATAGTGGTATAGTATAGTAAGTATGGATTAACATCAAGCTGCATATTAATCTAGAAGTAAAATAACAACAACAAAAACCAAGATCATATTAGAAACTCCATACTTATGTTTTAACATTGTTTAGAGAGCTTATTACTGAAACAATAGATAAGATCTCTGTAATTAAACTAGGCAAAACAGAAGAGGGGGGAAAAGAGATAGGGGCTAATGGATATGAAAACTTCCTGCTGTAGCTGAGCATTTCAGGTTAGTGGAGTCTCCGATTCGCTGTGGCCAAATGGCTGCGCAGTGATCTGTGTAGCATCCGCATTCCCTTCTGATTTACATTACTTATTAAAGGGAATATAAAGACTTGCTGCCCTTAGTCAAATAACTAATACATTAGCATCTACATCCCAGAAGCCTTTCTCTGGAATTTTTGTCAGCTACCTTTTTCTTTTGAAACAGAAATGTTTTAAGTTTGGGTGTTTTTTTCCTTGCAATTGCCTTTTGGCCTTTTATTAAAGATTAGAAGTTTGTTCGAGTAGCCTAGGAATAAGTTGTTTGTTTGGTACACAGTGCTATGTGAGTCCATGTGCTATGGATCAATGTCCCTGCCATTACTGACTGCAGTTTTTAAGGAACGGGCTTGGACCCGAGTCCCTTCTTGCTCAGCACACTGTGCTTTTCAGTATTGCTGGGAACCAAGAAGTGGTGTGCTGAGATGGGTGAATTTTCTAAAGGTATTCAGACTGTTTGTATTTCAAGCTGCAGTCCAGGTTGCTTCTACTTTCTCAAAGGTATATTTCCTATTTGTAAATCACATAAAATATAGACAATTACCTGTACCAAGATTCCTAAACAGCAAAAAATTTCCAAAAGATTTCAGACTATGACAAGAAATATTGATAAATTATCTACCACTATAGAACTGGAGCTATACACATAATCCAAGAGATGGTATTGAAGAAAATAAGTATGATTTAGGGGATTTTTGGAGGTCTGATAGCTCAGTAAAGAGCAAATGATTCATACTATCACCAAATGACAGTTGTCATAAAAGATTTTTATTTAATACGTATTATTGTTCTAGTAGCTTTATTATGAAGTCCTAGACTAGTATAAATATCACCATGTATTCAGCAAATAAATGATAAAAAATTTCAAAAACACAGAAGTAATCATCTCCACAGATGTTATTGCAGAGATCAGTCAACTTCTCCAAAGCATAACTGAGCTAGAGGGAAAAATCCTTGAATTTATAACAAGAGTCTTGAAAATAACTGGGTACCAATGTCTAAAAAGATGATGAAATTCTGAATAGGAAAGCTAAACTGCTGATAGTACAGCAAAAGTGCCCAGCAGTGCTGAGCATTGTTAATGCTGGAAACAGCCAAGCATAAAAATCACTTTATGTCTGCTGGTTTCTGAAATGAGAAGTGACACACGAATCTACGTTGCAGGAACAAATCTTCAAGATCGACTCCAAGTGTGAATCAGGAAAGGGACGCTGCTCTTTCAACCCCAATGTGAACACAGTGTCTGTTATGATCAGTAAGTAAAGTTACTCCAAGTTGCTGAGGTCTAAACCTGTATGGTCACGCGTGGTGTGGATTGACGGGATGCCTGAAACGAGCTGGGCACAGAATTCAGCCTCCAAGGAGCAGTACCTCGTGTCTGGCTGATGGGCACAAGGGTTGGGTCCATCCGTGTCTCAAGGTTTACATGAACCTGAAGGTGGGTGTACAAATGAAATGCAGAAATAAGTTGTTGAAAGGGGGAGAGAGAAACAGAAAACAAAAAGTTGTCCCTTTTCCAGCTTACACATTTTTTCCCAGGCTTAGTTTCAACTTTACATTACCCTGTCTAGCATTTTATGTTTGAACAGTTTCTGACCTTGTTCATCCTAGACAGCACTTGTGTCTCATTTAATTATTTGTAAAACCTCAGAGTACCCAGGGAAAGAAAGCCTGAAGACTTTAGTTACTTTGAATTTCATTTTTGTTGTCATCTCTGCTGTAGAGCCCACCAGCTATTGCAAGACTCTTCATTCTTCAGTTGGCTTTATACCCAAGCAATTTTACAATTTTCTTCCATTTGAAAGGCCAGGAAGTGATACAACTGACACACCTCAAATATTCTCATGAATTGGTGGCGACTGTACTCAGTGACTGTGAGATATACCCCATGCAAAGAATTACTGCAGTGCCTATTGCACACCTAACTGAAAATTCAAAGGGGGCATACGCTTTGTGCAACCTAAGTCATGAGTAAAAGAATTTTATTTATTTTTCCCAACCAGGAGACACATTATATACTAGGTGTAACCCAACCTTTCACGCTGGCAGCATGTTCACAGACTTCTAGTGCCACAGCCTCAGTTTTTCAACATGTGCCTACTCCTTGCTATATTTTTGGTTGTGAAGGGAACAGCAGTTGCACAGATTTTTCAGGCTTTCTGAGCAACTGAAACTTAGTGCACACACGTACTGCGTATTTCACCCAAGGTTTGCAAGGGAACAATGTGCAGTGTTTCTGCCATTCAGCTTCCACTGAAATCAATGGCAATTACATGTTATGCCAGATATTTCCTCTAAAGTTTGAGTCTCATGGAGCTTAAGGGAAATGTCATATAGTCTATCCTATATGGTCTGTTCAAAATATAAACTTTTTTTTTTTTTAAATTCCTAATTGTGAATATATTTAGTACAAAGGACAAGTAATTTCATTCACAGAGGTAGCACCTTTAGAAGACACATAAATGCAATGTAAATACCTCTCCAAACCTCGGCTGCACTTCTGTCTTTATCTCCTCAGTGATCTATGGTCAGTGTTTACAGACACTCACTGCGTAAAGAAAATGTTTGTTCAACGTCAGTGATGGATTAATCCACTGCTACTCATTGCTGTTCTGGCATTATTAAGTGAATCAACCAGCATTTAAAAATAAAGTTTCCTTTCCTTGTTCCTTCTGGATTTTATGAAACAGCATTGAAGTACATAGTTTCTGAATTACTGTATATACAGTAAGCTGATTTTTTTTTTCTACAATCAATCTATGGCAGCTTTGTTCATCTTAGAAGACTTTATGTTATCTTCCTTGATCTCTCAGTTATGTGACTGAAGCGACCTTCCCTAGTGTTTGACTAATCTTTTATGACATAATTCATCTACAAAGTTTAAATTATTCCACAAAGGTCACATTATTTTTCAAAAGAGTCCCACAGATTGAGTTTTATACTTTCTGCCTGTTACTACAAAGTCCAGTCACTTAAAAAAAATTAAGCTTGAATGAATTTAACTTCAATATCCATGCCGGAAAAGGGAAAATTTTGTAAATCACAGCTTGAGTTAAAATGCAAGGACTGAGCCCTTGTACTGGACTCTCCTTTGAGCATTCTTCTGCAGGAGAAATTCCTTCCTCTCACTTCAGAAGATGGGAAGTACTGCCAGACTGGGTAACTCTTCCACAACAAAAGAACCATTTTTAAATATAGCTGCAATTTTTTGACAATTTTGGGCATCACCAGCCTAGAATACAGCAGGAAAGCTGATTCACCCTTCACAGAAAAGTGCTGCTGTAAAAACAAAATTGAACTTGGTACAATTTGCCATTGTACAAAGACACTTTTGCATCGAAGCAATGAAAAATGTCCTTTGAAGAAGCTTGGCATAACTAGTGTGCAGGATGCGTGTCTCTCTCCCCACCAAGACTCTGAGATATTTATAAAAGCAGACATACCTCATCAATTCAGTAATTCTCCCCAGTAACAAAAAGAAGTAGTGTCAACTAGTTGTGCTGTGCAGACCAAGTGCTGTGTGGAATTTCAGAATTTAACCAAAAGGAAGTGGAGCTCTCGGATATCAGCTGAAACATGATTAGCAAGCAGACGCTAGGAATGCTTAAGACATAACTAATAGTGTTGATATGTAATAGGATTAAAATTACTATTTTAAAGTGTGTGTGTATGTGTGCATGCATAGGACTATGCATAACATTTAGTGAGAACCATAAGTCTGATCTCCTTTGGCCAATTTATATCATAAGAATAAAGCTCTGATGGATTGAGGCAATGAGGCAAATAAATATACAAAATCAGTTATAAATCAGTATAGATCTAACATCATTCTGTCAATACATGCTCAGGAAGTAAATGCTTCACAAACGTGCAGCGAACGCCTTGTTTAAATCCCCTGTTTATGAATCTTGTCATCACTGGGAGAGACGAGAGCACAAGAGTGGCTGCTGGCTGCTCTGCAGGGGTTCAGTTCAGGCTCTAGCCAGCAGCAGAAAAACAAAATCTCCAGAGTTTTAATTCTCTCATGAGCCAATAGTCTTCCATATTGATGCCCACATACGCACACACACAGCATAAAAATAGCCTCAAGCACTTCTGAACCAGTGACTCTTGCCAGCTTGACCACACTCTCTGGGTAGTCCAGGAATTCAGACAAAAACATCAATCAGAGGACCCAGCTGTACTGGAATGTATTCAGCCGCCACTCCCACTCTGAGAGTTAGAGTTTATTTTAGCTACTGTTTTCTACTCTGGGGTTTCATTGTCATTAGTCAGTGGAAATTGCTTGGTTATTCACGGAGTAGAAAATGATAGTATATGTAATTAGAATTGTAATTATATATACGTATATTTGTGCACACACACAGACTCACACAAACACAGATATACGTCCTGACTGATGGACTGAGTTTTCAGCCCTGCACAGGGAGCGGAAGGTTGTAGTTGCATTAATGTAAGAGTTGCGTTCAAGCATACTGACCCTATACTTAGAATCAAGTACATAAAAGGGGACAATTGCTGCTCCTTATTACTCTGCATAAAGTTCAATAATATGATTGTCTGGCCTCTGCAATACTGAAGTCAGCTTGAGGATGCCTGGGGCAGCCCTGACAATAGTGTTGGTAAAAACTGGCACCGATCCATTCACTGCAACAGATGTTGTGCCAGTTTACACCAGCAATAAATTCAGCCCAGTCATTTTGTCTACTATCGTAACAAAAACAAGCTTTTTGAAGTATGTACTTAAAAAATTGAACGTGATTCTTTTTGATAACTCTAGCCTGATTTTCCAGTGATCCTCAGCAGTGAAAGTTGAGCATCTAAACTTCATATCAAAGAATGGTTCACCACTTAGGCAGTTCTGCTGTTGCATGTAATTATGCAGTTCCCTAAAGTCTTTAAGAAAAATCTGATGATTCGCATGCATTCTAGATTGTATCTTTGTAAATCAGAGGGAAACCCCATTCCCATGACCCAATATTTAGCTGTATAAACTCCTGTGTAAATAAAGAGCTGACGAGTTTAAAATAAAAATAGATCAGTAAATACAAATTTCCCAGAAGCCATAACAACGCATTTGCTTTTTCCCCTCCATTTCAATTCTTTGCAGATGAAGAGCTTTTTTCAGGAATGTATATTGATTTCATGGGGACGGATGCGGCCATTTTTCGGAGTCTGACCAGGAGGAATGCAGTGCGAACCGACCAGCACAACTCCAAGTGGCTGAGTGGTGAGATGCCTTTGTTTTACCAGAGCTTTTAATGGGTTTCACAGAGATTCTGCTTTGGTTTGGTTTGGTTTGGTTTTTTAGGAAAAAAAAAAAAAGCTTGTCTTTTAAAGAGCTTTTCTCTGAATTTAATTCATGAAGTTGAACCATGAAGAAATGTGTGTAAATACATATTGTAGACAATGCACAGATATGAAGAGTTCAACGCATGAGCCGACCTCTTAGGCCACCCCACCTGATGGCCTTTGTTGCATTAAGGCTGAACCAAACTGCTCCAGGGAAAGTGTATGAAAACCTTTCAAATGGCAAGTGGTCAGGCAATCTGACTTCTCGGGAAGTGCCTTCTCCACCTCTAGTGCGTCAGACATCGCCGTAGAGTGCATGATTCCAAGTTTTTTTCTAATGAATTACCAACTTCACTTAATTCAGGCTGATCCGCCTCTGTACAGAAGATTCACCACCACCTCCATACAGAAGATTCACCACCACTTGCATTCAAAATGTGTGCAGAAGAGAGTCCTATTGTCAGAGAAGTCAATGACAATTATTGCCATTTATTTCAGTGGTAAGAAATTGATTATCAAAACACAGTAGGAAAACTAATTTCTGAGTGCCTTAACTCTTGCCTTCACTGAAACAAATGTGAAAATTCTCCCTGACTTTACTGATAAGAAGACTCCTTCTAATTAATCTATTTTGAATTGAAATGGTGGTCAACCCTCTGAGCAGAGATAGATGTCAAAGGTTATAGAGCAAATAACATAGCAGTTCCAATTTAAAAAAGCCTTCAGGTCTGTTGAAGTAAAGTTACGGTGCTTTTGTCTTGACTGTTTGTATGATGACTCTTGTTACTCCTGTGTGGCTGGGACTACAGTGGAATCACGGGATTGCAATCGGAATAAATTCAGTCCACTATGGGAAACTATGTCTGCTTTCTACATTTTTCTTTTGTTTGGTATACATTCTTACATGTATCTGCACATCCTGAAGTATGCACTCTAAAGTGTTTAAAGAGAACCATTAAAATGCCTAATTTCTGGAAAATCTACCTGTTACATATGCTCAGAACAGTTACCTGACAAGCACAATTTATTTCCATGTTCTTTTAGCGCCAGTCATGACACACGTTATATTAATTGAGAATGGGCTCTTGTGAATAGAAAAATGCTGCAGTCTAAAGTGAGTTTTCTGTCAGAGATCCAACCTTCATATCGGATTGTTTCAAGATTTGTACTGGATTTCAACTGATCAAGCAATCTTGCCTGATGATTGAAAAGATATACCCATCATGCAGGAAGAGGGTCCGCTTCTTCCTTCAGACGAAGGAGAAAGTCTTCTGAGGACCCCTCCACTGTCCCTTATGTATTTTCTGTTAAGGATATAAGTTATTTTGCTTTCTCTCTAGTGCTCCTTTGCAGTGTTTTGCACGTACGCTTGGTTATGTTTATCAGCCTCTGATATGAACTCAAAAGCTGTTCAAGCATTTGCATATCCCGCTTTCTTTTTCCATGTTCCATGAGTTATTTTCCTCTCTTATTTATGTACCTTTTTTGTTCTTTTCCTAATGAGGCTTTCAACAGCTTACTTTTATGTTTTGCCTCAATGAGCCTTTCCTTAAGTGCCTCTGATAACACACTGATTCTTCCCTCTTCTTCCTCCAAGTGTTTGAATCTCTGCAGTAATCTAATACTACTGCTTCTGCATTTTAATCACTTTTCTAAAAATCTGCTGTGGGATAAAATATGAGGATTCAGAAACTTAAGGCTGCCAGCAAGAAGCCATTTACCTGGTGATATCTGGTATATACAGACATGAGGCTAGACCATATAGCTTAACCTGCCACAGCAGTACCTCTGTATGCATTATATAGCATTTCCTTGAAGCAGTCAGGAACCGTCAAGTCATTAATTGCTTATACTGATACATCTTTTGGTTTCATCTTTTTGTTATACTGTTTCATTTCAGAGCCTATTTTTGTGGATGCTCATGTTATCCCTGATGGCACTGACCCCAACGATGCCAAAATCTACTTCTTCTTCAAAGAGAGACTCACAGACAACAGCGGCAGCACAAAGCAAGTTCATTCCATGATCGCAAGAATATGCCCAGTAAGAACTATTTTGTTTGCCAGGTTGTTGGGTCAAGCTGCTAGTGTGACATGATAAGCTAAAGGACTAAATGATTGAAAAGCCTTTGATTTATATTCAAAACAGATTTCCCATTTCAGCATCTACATTCATAATAAAGAAGAGCTGTTACTGAACACACAGTTAGGGTCTGAACATGTTATGTGTATCTGGCTATACCTATAATGATATGGAAATGTAGAGATTCAGGGATTTGTGTATTTATCCGAGTCAGAAGAGTTACCAGTGTTGAATTTCCAAACTTGCTCTTCTTTGCACAAATGAGGTACATTCTTTGCTTAGAAAAACTGATGTATAAGACAGTGAAGTCTTTCACACACACACGCGCGCGCACGCGCGCACAAACACACTCAAAATCTTTGAAACACATTGGAACTATCAGAACCAAGCTTTTAAATGGGTTGATTTAACTTTCAAATATTGTTTTAATTTTTACAGTATCTGTCCTTTCTGAATTTTTGCATTGATGTATGTGTGAGCCTAACTTTAAAAATGAGCACAGGAAAATTAAATTCAGGCTATTCCTGTGCAGTAATTAATTTACGATCACAGTGCTCCTCATTGTCTCTATTTCCTTTTTCCTACCTGTAATCAACTGTAGATGAAAAATGATTGAAGCAGCTATTAATGTCTCTGGGGAAATGGATTTTTGTTAGTGAGAGAAAAATTATAAATGCGTAATAACTGCTAACCTTTTCATTCTTTCTTCTGGAAAGGCTCAGGAAGCTAATTGTGAGCGTTTGTGTATTCCCTGTCTTTAATCTAAGTCTTCTTTAGAATTTGGTGCTTTGCAATGTTGTTGTGCATGAGTGTGAGGGCGTGTTTGGGACTGTGTTAAACTCCTTCTCTGGCTATAGGATGAGGCATGTGATCTCTTTTATAATCTCCATTTTCTATATTTTTCTGAAGGTGCCCAAAGGCCTTTTTGGGTATTTTGCAAGACGACATTTCACACAATTATAGCTGTGTTTGTTATTGTTACTGTTATAATGAAGCCCAGATGATTTCTGAAAGGCCTCAGCCTGTTCAGACTTACACTGAATTCAGTGGCAGAATCCCAAAGCTAATGAAAATAAATCTGAGCTAGTCATATTGGTATATTTGTATGCCATCATATTCATACATCAACACCTTTGAGACTGGCCAAATATATTAATACAATGGTGCCAAGAAAGACCCCCCCCAAAAGACTCCTTGTGAGTCACCCAAAAAGTCAGATTACCAGGTCCAGGAGAACCAGTGAAACATGCACAGCATTTCATTGAAGTCACATTTTCCTAGTTTCTACATTTCCTTTTTCCCTTTCCTTGGGTGACATCGTGCTATGCAGTTTGGAAGATGCTGCTCTTAGATAAAGTGTTCACCAGCAGAGCGAGCCAAGAGCTATCACCTCTGTGCTGCACCAGCTGGTTTAGCAGTTCCAGTTTCCACCTTGCACTGGAGAGAGATGGAAAGATCCTTGAGTGAGTTGTGATCAAGCCAGCCCTGGAACAAACTAGCAGGACTTGCAATGGTGCAAAACTAGCTTGACCCATGCTAGCCATCATTTCTGAATGTAGTTCAGAGCATCAGCCTCATGGGCTAGCTCGGCTTATTAAGTCATCGCTCTGTAGGACTATTAGACCTTTTGGAGGTAGCATGGACTTCTCCATGTGTCAGTGAGTGACAGAGACCTCTACAGTCCTTTCCAATCATACCCACACACACTGCTGCTGCACAAGTTCTACGGCACAACCCTCCCATGCCTGCTAGCCCAGCACAGAGACTCTGCTCAGAAAACAAGTTCCTGTTTTTCCTGTATCTGGAGTGTTTAGATGAGGAGATTTGGTTTAGGCTTATCTGTTTTGTATATTGAATTTACCAGCATAATTGTCTAGGTGATGAGTCAAATTAACCTGAGGAAAATGTGGGAAAGCCCAGTAAAATGTTAACTGTGTTGTATTTTTTTCTGAAAATAATATTCCTTTTCAGAATGACACGGGTGGTCAGCGTAGTCTCGTGAACAAGTGGACAACGTTCTTGAAAGCAAGACTTGTGTGCTCAGTAATGGATGAAGATGGAACAGAAACATACTTTGATGAGTTAGGTATGGCAAGAAAAATCCCTTAAGTTTTATCTAAATCCTGCACCCTGTGCATATTTAATTATTGGTGTTCATTCAGCTTCTTAATCAAGTTGTTGACAGTGGAATCTTGGCCCTGCAGAAATTCATGACAAAATTCCCTTTGCAGTTTTATGACAGGAAATGAAAAAACTCTTCATAAATCTCTCTGAGTAATTATCATTATCTTTGAAATAAAGGTAATTAATCTTGACTATGTAAAGGAATCATATATGTAAAGAATTAACAGTTGTGATGAAATATGTAACTGAAGTCTATTGTTGTTTTGCTCCTAGTTAGGATTATGAAAGAGGTTTTTATAACATACATCTCTGAAGCTGTGTAACATACAGCTTTTTTGTAATACAGTTTTTCTTTTTTGATCACTGGGTAGAGGCCTCAATCTGATCAAGATAATACCAATAAATCCTGTTACTGGCACCAGCAATAATACTATGAATAAATATAATTTCTCAGGATCCATTCAGGCACTTAGATTTTCAGTTCAACATATGAAACACTGCAAATACTCAGTGAATAATCTATACAGCAGTCACAGAGGTTTCCTTTCAATAAGAAATTAATAGATGAATATCTTGATAGTTAAGTGCCAAACAGCATTATCAGAAAGTTTCAAATTCTATATTATCAACAGCTGTGATGTACAAAGTCATAGCACTAAATTCAGGAATTGGAAGATTTGGTATGTGTATTAGTAGAGATATAAATACGAATAATATAAATAGCTAATGAGCCCCACACTGAGGCTGCATCTGATCCTGACCTCTCCATTGTGGTCTGTCATTATTCCTGATTCTTATCATAACAAATGGGGTTTGGAGCCTTTTTGACTTTATATCTTTACAAATATTTGGTGTACTTTCTTTGGTTCTAGGTTTCGATGGAACCTGATAGGCCTAGGAGCAGATCCTAACTTGCTGTAACTTAGAATATGCAAGGTGCTTGGAGGACTGGCTTTCAGAAGTTCCCGGTGCCTCCCAGCACTGCCACAGCAACTAATCTTTCCAGGCTGTGATTTACCAGCCTGCTCCTCCTCAACAAAGCAGTAGGATAACTGCTTTTAGTTTTCTGTATGACAAAAAGGAGGACCATACAGAATAGGAGACAACATTGTCATCCTGGGCTCCCAGCACAATCCCATAGCAGAGAGTGACAATACAACCGCAGCTGGAAATTCATGTATAATGCAGAAGAGTGTAACACTGCCAGTCCTGCATGGTGAAGTCTTTTGCTTTTGACATATTTAACGGAATGTTCAAAAATTTCAGAGAGTTAATGAAGGAGCCCCATAAATTAATGGAAAGCTAAAGAACGTATTTTATGATAAAAAGCTCAAACAGTTCAGTCTTCTTATGTGTTGTAGTGCAGTCAATAAATCCCCACACAACAGAAGCTGGGAGGTTTTATCTCTCAGTGTCTTCACTGCAAAACTGTGTGTCATTCCTATCATGTTGAAAATGAGCTAGTGAGGGCACCTGGAGTGTGTACTGGACCATAAAACACCTAATTGTCCTGCTTTGGATTACATCCATCTATGGGAACTCTTTGACCTACTGCAGCTTAAATGTTTGCCTACTGTTAAACGACCTGCTGAGAGAAATGTGCGACATGGATCCTGAACATATTTGAAAATCTTTGCTTTCTCTCTTCATAAGGCTAGATGGTGCGGAGTTAATTTCCAGAACTGTTTCAGAATGTCCAAATGCTAGATTTATGCATATGGTCCATTCATACAATAAGCCTGCTTCTTCCCATTCAAGTCTGAGACAAAACTACTGTGGCCTCAGGAGGAATAAAGTCATAAATTAAACTGGAAAATAAAGTGGGTTATTAGTATTCAAAATGATTTTTCTTTTTCCTTTTCTTTCTTACAGAGGATGTGTTTCTTTTAGAGACAGATAACCCCAGAACAACGCTTGTGTATGGAATTTTTACAACATCAAGGTAAACGGGGAGATTTAAAAAAAAAATTACCTTTCTGAACTGCCCAGTTTTCTATATGAAAAGTGAAAGCGATGGTTTGTGATCAAGGCCGTCCTGTGCAATTCTGTATGTCTGCTGTGGCAATTGTTTGCGTGCAGGATTAGCAGTCTCAGTATCATTCCTGTCGGTATCCGTGTCAGAGCTATGCTGCTTGGAGCAAACTCCTCCCTGACATGCTGTCTGCTGGCACTGGGAAAACATTTCCGTGGAGGACCACTTGTTACTGCTCGGCAGTGGAAAGCTAAATGACTTCAACGCAGTGAACTCATGTGGCATCTGAGAGCATTTAACACCTCCTGAAGGACATCCAGCACCCTGAAAGATCAAACCGGGAATTCTTACATGAATTCATACAAATCATTTCCAGTCTCTCAGCTGGCAGATGATCGCACAGATGGCAAATAACCCATGTCGGCTTCAGTTGGCTACGAAAAGACAAGCTTACGTGGTATTCGATCGCCTCCTTGCAGTCTTAAGCTCTCTGTTACCAGTCAGTAGTATTCACTTACTGTGCAGTTTGGAAGGCACTCAGTGAGCTCCCAAGGGCAGTGCAAGTACTACGTATGGCTTACTATGCCGAAACTCTCCACAAAGACAGAGCGACAGGTGGACCAACAGGTTCTGCCATCTCTACCTTTATTCTTTTTCACTTTTCTCTTGCCCTCACCACATAGTGCTAGTATACAGAATAGCAATACTTACTGCTTACTGATTTCTGGTACATTATCCTGTATTATTTATCTGTTATTACTTAACTTAAAAGAGTTTTTTCCTTATTTTTTTATTTCATTTGATCAATTTGCAGTTTATTTGCAATTATTTGATCAAATTAGCAAATTTGCAATTATTTGATCAAATTAGCAAATTATTTAACTTACTACTACCAATTCCTTTAGTGGCAATCTCTAGTAAAAAATTCGTTGCACAAAAAGTGTTTTTTCCCGATACACTTTTTTCTGTCTTTTTTCATGTGGATCCAGGGATCTGCTTTCTCAAATGTGTGAACCAGCCAGGAAAATATGATTTTATGATATTTAATCGGGAAAAAAGAATTCTCTAACTTGTAAACATTTGGTGCTGTCTACATTTTATGATTCCTACTGCACAAAAAGAGAAAATGCTGAGGTTACATTAGCAGTAAACCCACACTTATGATTAGGTTGTGGATGCAACATGCCTGAACTGGAAATACTTTTACCTAATTCTCCTGGTATTCCTGAAGTGGAAATGAGGTTTGAATCACAGGACCATATAAGGTGACAACAAAGAGAAAACTTCACTTTTTCCTGGCTTTCAAGCTGTTTTCTCTCTCTGTTCAAATTTTTACACTCATCTATTCCTATTATCATGAACCGTATGGTGTATGCTTGCTTTCTCTTTGTTTGACTGTAGATTGGTTGCGTTACCGATCATAATGATTTTTACTCCTTAGCAATTCCTTTATCTTCACCGCTTTAGATTTCCAACTCATAACAGTAGCAAGAGAGAAATATCCTAACAAATAATAACTATTAGTACTTTTATCTAAATCACTCAGAAGGAAACCAAGTAATATTGAAGCAAATTATTTTGGTGGCATAATCTGCTGTAAATCTAACATAAAACATCTTGAAAGATTAAATACACTTCTTAAAACCTATTACTACCTACTCAAATTTCCAAAATACTGTAATCCAACTAAAAGGTTTCTCTTGCTAATCCATATATAGCTGAGAGCAATGTGGATTGCACTTTCCTTGTTTAGACACTATTTGCAATGTTTTCAGTTTTTTTCTGGAGTGTTTTTTTTTTTTTTTTCCAATTGAAAACAGAGGGTTACTTGGATTATCTTCATCCTACAATTAACGTCAGGCAGATTTCAAACTGTCTGGTGTTTCCACTTTGTTAAGATAAATTTCCCAAACCTTATATGCACTGAGAGAAAAAAAAAAAAAAGAGTTAATTCACTCCAGTCAGGCTCTAGCATCACTCTGGAAATTATTCCCCTAGTGCCCTCCATCATCACAGGGTGATGGAGGCCATTCAGGGTTTGTGCTGGCTGAGGAGACATCTGAGACCATTGCTGAACCCAGCGCAGTGGAAAAACATGCCTTTCTCATAGGTTACCCCTCCGGTTCTCCTCAGGAAGCATCCAACTTCAAATTTTTTGAAGGGGTCTTTGTAAGACCAGTTTTAAGGGTGGATTTGAGGACTGTATAGGAGTAATTCCTTTACAGCCATGACCTGTCCCCATTTTGCTTAGAAAAGCTGACAACTGACTGTAATAATCTAACCAATTGTAATTGTGGGGATGTTTTGATTAATATTTTAGCCATGTGTTTTAGGAGAGTCATGGAGGTCTTCCGGTTAATCTGCTGGTAGGGCGTTCTGAACACTTGTGCTGAGCTTGGCAGTACAAAGTTTATATACTCTTGTCTCGCTGCAGCCAGCAATATTTTTGCCATTGGTTTAACTGAGGCCAGATTATATTTCTTTTATATTCAACATTAGGAAATCTTATTCCACCAGCAGGGTAGTACTTTCCTCCCTCTTTTTTCAGTTCACTGTTCAAAAAGGTGCTAGATCTTAAGGATTCGTGGTATATATTGGGAAGATAAAGTAGTTGATTTGAAATGTATTAAATCTATGCTATAGAAGCATTCAATTGTATGAAATATATTCTCTTAGAGGTACCTTTCATTATTCGACCTTGCAAAATGATGGAAAAGCTATGCAAAAGTTGGTAGATTGCTATACTAACTTTTCCTACTGTCTTCCAGCTCCATATTTAAAGGCTCAGCTGTGTGTGTGTATCATCTGTCCGACATCCAGACCGTGTTCAACGGGCCATTTGCACACAAGGAGGGCCCAAACCACCAGCTGATTCCATATCAGGGCAGAATTCCATACCCACGACCTGGCACCGTAAGTACAAAGATGTTTATGCAGGCTTGCCAATTACTTGTCTTTGTTTAATACATAAATAAATATTATTTATTCCAGGAGAATGGACTGTATGTGACTATGACACTTAGTTACAGTTCAGAACAATTTTATTTGCTTCTCAGCTTGCCGTACAACTCATGTAGTATCTGGAAAACTTCTAGAGAATTAAAAGTCGTGCAAAACGTTAATCGCTCTTGCTCTTTCTGCTCAAAAGGTGGTAAGAATTATTTCAACAGATAGCAGTCATATTATTTACATGTACATTTACATTTTGTGTGTATGTTTGAGCAAAAGATAGCTCAATAAATAAGCGTACAAGGACAGCGTTGTGAGTGTGTTCTACAGTCTGGATCCAAACGTCTGTAAGTCTGTCTTCAGAATTTCCCATAGTTCTCTAAACTTTTGCAGTTCTACTGGCATGTTTGGGAGATGTAGTAGGAGAACAAGACTTATGAGACTTGTCATTTGACTAGGTCTAACTCCCTGTCAAGTACTGAATTTTAGATGAGAGATCTAGAAATAGATGAGTTTTCATGCCAATCAGTTCATAGTAGTCCTCCTTGTTAAGAATGCTTTTTGTATGCCTTGAAAATTTTTCAGGACTTTCTTTCACTGTATCAGGGGTAGTAATAATCTTCCAGTAAATTCTGTACACCATTAGAGCTAGCTCTGTTTCCAAGTTTAAAAAAAAGTACCATAAAAGATTTCAAACAAAATTGTTTTGTTTTTTTCTTTTCTTTTCACATTTATGGTATATAAAAATTGCTGTTGATGCAGTTTTGTCTTTATTTACTTATTTATTTGCACTATTCTCAGATTTAGCAGAAGTATGAAGTCTAATATTTCCAGTTGTAATGAAGAATATATGAAATTTCTCTAGAATCTTCTCTAAATCCATATTTGCTGAAGGAAATATGGTAATGTGGACTTCTGTTGACTCCTATGGAGTCTTCTTACAATTTCTTAAGTATCAGAATTAAATAAGTATGCACAGAATCATAAATCATCTCTCAACGATGTAGTTATAATGTTTTTTTAGATGAACACTTTGTTGTTTTTCCATTCATCACAGGAAATTAAATTTTATTTCAATTTTGCAAGTCACTGCAAGAATTTTTAACCATATCACTGTTTCATTCATGTTCATCTTTGTGCTGTAGATCTTGTTCTTTCTCTTTCTTTCTCTCTCGTTCACTAATGCACAGATACATGGAATAGCTCTCCCTGTTCACACAATTTTTCATGACATTTTAGTGCAGTTATTACTGGCTGTAAGATTTAGGACTTTGTGTTCCCAGATTAGAATTAGCTAATCAATACCGGATATTCCACTAAGATCTAATACAATTCTTTCTTTGCAATTAATTCATACAGCTCTAATCTCATGAATTCACTGAGGCTTTAAGCTTAAACTTTACAAAAAAAGGAAAGGAGAGGAAAGGAGAGGAAAAGAAAGGAAAGGAAAGGAAAGGAAAGGAAAGGAAAGGAAAGGAAAGGAAAGGAAAGGAAAGGAAAGGAAAGGAAAGGGGAAAGGAAAAAGGAAAGGGAAAAGGAAAGGGAAAGGAAAAAGGAAAGGAAAAAGGAAAGGAAAAAGGAAAGGAAAAAGGAAAGGAAAAGGGAAAGGGAAAGGAAAGGGAAAAGGAAAGGAAAGGGAAAAGGAAAGGAAAGGAAAGGAAAGGAAAGGAAAGGAAAGGAAAGGAAAGGAAAGGAAAGGAAAGGAAAGGAAAGGAAAGGAAAGGAAAGGAAAGGAAAGGAAAGGAAAGGAAAGGAAAAAGGAAAGAAAAGGGGAAAGGAAAAAGGAAAGGAAAGGAAAAAAGGAAAGGAAAAAGGAAAGGAAAAGGAATTACCCATTTAAACGGGAAGTTTTACGCTCTTGTGCTTAGTCACATTTCAGAGTTTCTTGCTGCTTCAGAATATTGTATTTGTATGTGTTTCCTCAACCACTGCCATGTTATTCTTGGTACACTTCATGGAGGCTTATGAGGTATTCCAGATGGGCCTAAAGAAATTGGGCAGCACAATGGAAAGAGAAAAAGAAAATTCAAATTTAGATTTAACATGGTGACAGAAATTACCTACATTTTTCAGATGTGCCAGTGAGCTTTGAATTTGAAGATAAATTCTTAGATCATAGCTCACACAAAAAATGAAGACAAAAGAGATTCTTTTCAGATGATCATTGCTGGGTTTCTGATCACTGGCTTTTCTGTGCTTTCTCGCAATTCAGCCACAACACAGTATCTTAAAAGTGTATTTTCCAACCTGAGACTTGTTTGCCTTTCCTTTTACTTTACTGCCAAAAGTTTAACTTTTAAATGCATGCCACAAACTCTATTTTTCACTTATGTCAAAGCATCTGTAAAAATCAGGAAATGGGGATGTTTTTGCTGAGCAGAATTTGTGTTCAAAGGGTTAACTTTGAATAGCCACGCTTGCAGACTATGGGGCATGAGGCTCTTTCCTCTGGAACGTAGGGTTTTTTGCAGCTTCTGGGATTCTGGACTAGACAGGGATACCTTTTTATATGACATGGAAAATCCTACTTTACAGTTGCCTAAAGAGATATTCATACTAAACCTCTGGACAGAAATGAACATTCATTGTGTCACAGTACATTGGATAAACAACGAAAAGGCATCAGTATAGCTTCAGTAGGATTAAATAAAGCAATACGTTCATTTGGCCATAATCATCTCTGCAGTGTTTGGCTGCCCGTCACTAAATACCAATGGTTTCTTATTTCTCCACAAGCAAAACTTACTTATGGAAAAAGAAGGGAAAAAAAAAATACATAATTGGCACCTTGCTGCTAAATTCAGTGATGTTTGAGGATAGTTTCCATTTTTCAGAGTTTACAGAAATAGTTTTTGTACCTACAGCATGTTGGGGGATATGCTGTAAATTAAAGAATTCTGTTTCTCTCTGCAATCTAACTGCATGGTGATCAACTGTGAACATAATTATCGTGTAGCCAAGTCCTTGAATGAGGTGTGAAGGATACACATTCAATCCCTCCAGGAAAGGGAGAGCTTATAGGGTTCTTCAGTAACATCTTTTGCTTGTCATTGGTTTATACAGGGGATAGAAAAGGAATTAATTGATTAAAGATGTTTTTTAAAACTTCTCTCAGAACAGCGATATAATGTAAGTTTTTAGGGTCATATTGGGGTGAACGATAGCACAGACATTTTTTCAGGAAGTCACAGACAAAGATCTAACAATGTCTAAGTCAAGAGTGGAAGGACAGAAAGTATCAGAGAAAGTTGTCTTTTAACTGAGCTGTGTGGGACAGGAAAGTTTGATTTGAACTGCTCGTGAAACAGAATCACTCTGGAGAGAGACTGGGGTCTGGCAGATCACTACCAAGTAGAATAATCTTTCTAATAGCCTACAAATTTATGAAGACAGTTCTTTTTTTCAGCATTTGTTGCTAATCTTAGCAGATAGCTCCATATATTTCCTGGAAGACTCTGGATGGAAGTGGCACAGAGGGAAGGACTGGAGCAAACAAGATAATCAGAATTCAATTTTGTGAGGACTTAGAGGGCTAGCATATAATGTCATTTATAATAAGAACCAAACCAGAACCCTCAGGATAAATAAGAATCCAGAAGAATCAATTGTCAAGGATGTCAGATGGGAAAAGAGACCTGTATCTGAGCTGAGTTCTGGTTCTTCTTCCTCAAGGTAACCGATGCCAGAGCAGTTTCTTTTAAAGAATTCCTACCAGAGCTGTTCTACTTTGTATAAATAATTAAATCCTAATTGAACCAGAACATGATTCTACAGCCTGGGATTAGGCTGCAGTCCGCTCTCTACTTTGTTCCTAGTATTGCTCGATGAATAGTTTATTATGTGCACAAGATGGAACAGCTTTTAGCAGCGAGGGTAGAATGGGCACTCCTGCCTGGTGGTTAGAGGGATCCCCTGGGTGGTGAAGACCCAGATTCTAATGTTTGCTCACATCAGGTAGGTTGGACACATGACTCATATATCCCCAGCGAGTTTCCTAGTCTCTCAGAGTATGATTCATCTTATGTAATTTTAGCCATCTAAAAGCAGGGCATCTAGTCTGAATTACTGACTACAGAGGAAACCTAGATGGCTAACTAAGAATAAATGCTTGACTTTGAGACAGTAGAAGTCAGGTGAGGTAAATCTCTCCCTAAGCTACTATTGTGTCTGTGGTTTTGACCAGAAATTCCATCCTAGACGTAAGAATGGTCCTCATCAAAATAAACAAGTTTCCATGAAATGTTTCATATTGAACAAATCAACATTTACCAACTGGAAAAATATTGTGTTGAAATATTTCTGAATAGCTCCAATATTCCGAGGAGAGTCTCACAGCTCAAAAATCTGCTAAAGGGTAAAATGAAAGCTCCGGAGCAGCAGTTAAAAGTGCAGTCATGGTGGCTGAAAAAAAAAGTCATGTAAATTACCATTGGTACATCTGGTACATTGTACCAGTTACTGACATAGCTCCTGATTTCTTCCCACGGTCTTCTTTTAGTTTCACTCTTAGTAAACACTTGAGATTTCTAAGATTGCTTTTATTTCCTCATGAGGTCCAGAATGCCTCGGGGTTGATTATTTGGATGTTTTTTCCTTACATGTAAAGAAGCATCCAGAGTATTCATGGACCTCTTAGTTCCTGGGCATAGGGGAAAGTGTAGGCAAGATCCTGTGAATGTCAGTCTTCTCAGATGCAAATGAGTTGCCTTGGGATCCCCTCATCAGCTCCATATTATTGTTCTTTCAAATGAAGATGAGTCACAGGCCCTTTTACCTTCTCATAATCAAAATAATGACTAGAGGGATATTGACCAAATTACAGTTAATATCGGATGTATCCTTTTGCCTTTGTACTAAATCTATAACGAACCAGCTGCAAAAGTGTGGTATCTTCCCATATCAATTGCTTGGATTATTTTTTTTCCCAACAGGCAGTTTGGAAGCATAAAGAATGTGGAAATAGGTCCAGAAGTATGGATCTTTGCCATCAAGCTGGGTTTTAAAAGTGCAAAAATATGTTTGTGTTTGCTTTATCTGAATTGATGGGACTTCAAAGCGTAGCTATTCAAGCACTTCATTCCCGTTACTAGAACATAATTACTTTCAGTCAGAGTCTGAAGTGCTCTTTCGGGAACTTTGTCAACTATCTGTCAATATTTGTAAATGACTTGGAGATGAAAAGTCTCTGAAAGTTGGTAAGTATTGTTAAGCATTGCTGTGCATGTTTCTTACAGTGTCCAGGAGGAGCCTTCACACCTAACATGCGGACAACCAAAGAGTTTCCAGACGATGTTGTGACCTTCATCAGGAATCACCCTTTGATGTTTAATCCTATCTACCCAATACACAAGAGGCCATTAATCATCCGGATAGGAGCCGACTACAAGTACACAAAGATTGCTGTGGACCGAGTGAATGCCGCTGATGGAAGATATCACGTCTTGTTTCTTGGAACAGGTAAGACAAACTTAGCAACAGTCGTTTTCCCTCATTGCATTATAATTTGCCATCAACTCCAATCTGTACAATTTATAGCTTTCACAAAGGTTTGTTTAAACATATTTGCTATCTACAAAAATGTCTATAGAAAATCCATAAATTATGCTCTTTTTACTTTCCGTGCATTCTTATGTTTCCTATAGATGTTAATTATGTGCAAGAGGTACAATATATTGATAGGAATTTTATTTGAGACAGAAATCAACACTAGTGTATATTGTAGTTGATCTAAAATTATGATACTCCTCTTGAATATGGTTTGTCTGCAACATGATTCCACATTAGAATTTGGTCCTCTCTAGCATGAGTAAAAATACCAAAATCTGGCTTTGTATTGTTTTGTATACTCTCATCATCATTATTTAATAAATGCTGTGTAAGCAACTTCTGAAGAAAAACAATCTGATCAGGATGTTACAAAGGCAGAAATAACAACTCCCCCCAAAAAAAGTAAAAATATGGAAGCATTTAGAAGAGAAAAGGAAACAAATGGTTGGAGTCCTAGCAGTAGTGGACACAGAGAATTTGATCCAGGTATTCAAAAATAATTTCTGTCTAATATAACCTACATTTTGTTTTTAGTTACATCAAATTTGAATCTGGTGTTATGCTTCTGGAGTCTGCAGGGAACAGGTCAAGTGATTCTTGTACTGATCAATTTTGATTTTTTAAAATATTCAGATATGAATCACACTCTCCTGATTGAAGCAGACAAGTGGAGTAGGTACTCTGGCTAGACCCTAGGATTCATTCACGTCTGAAACTCCCGCTGGTGTAACACGGCATTACAGGTTGATAGGCACAAAGGCTAATCTTTTTTACTACAGATGGTTTCAAGTAGAACAAAGGAAGAGAATTCCAGGAGAACAAATATATCTCTGAACATCAGCAAATAATTACAGACATGGCTTGCATTGCTTTTATGGTTCACATATTATTGGGGTCCTGCTTGTTTTCTGCTTGTAGAATAACCGTATCTGCCAGCAAACTCACATGGGGCTGGGAATAACCATCCTGTTATAATAGATTTAGGAAGCTGGTGCTGAAAAATCTCTCAAGAATGTCAGGCTTCTATAGGGGCAGGATTAAAAGGAACTCTCTTTACTCTTCTTGGAAAAACCTCCCCAACTATCAAAATCAGCAGGGTGCCTTCGTGCCGAAGGACGCCAGCTGCATACTGTGCTGTATTAGCAGAAGAGTGTCCAGCCAGTGGGTTGCTGGAAGACGTTCTTCCCCTGTATTCGGCTCCTGTCTGGAGTACCGCGTCCAGTTGTGGGCTCCCTAGTCCAAGGAAAACATTGAACAAGATCAGTTGAGGGACTGTAGCATGTGATGTATGAGAAGAGGCTGAGAGAATTGAGTTTATTCAGAGAAAGCTAAGGGGAGACCTTATTGGTGTTGACAACTATCTAGCGGGAGAGTACAACTACCTAACGGGGGAAAAACAGATCTGAACTCTTCTCAGGGTGCTTGGTGTCAGGGTGAGAGGCAATGGATAAGAGTTGCAATGTGGGACATTGCAATTAGATATAAAGGAAAAGGTTTTCATCATCAGTTTGATCAAACATTGGAACAAAGGCTCGGAGAGGTTGCGAATTCTCCATCCTTGGAAACTCAAAGGATTCAGAACCCAACACGACCTGGCCCCAAGCAACCTGCTCTAACTGGACCTGCTTTGAGTGGGGGATTGGACCAGATGACTTCTAGAGTCCCCTTCCAGCCTACGGGGTTCTGTGGTTCAATAAAAGGAAATAGGAAAACAGAAAAACCTCGTTCATGTTCTTGTGTCAAACCTTTACCAGGTCACCATCTACTGTACTGTGAATGCTTAGTATACTATAATGCATAGTCAGAGTAGAAGCAGCTCCGTGTAATGAGTTACATTAGGAATTTCATCACGTTTTGATCTGGGTATTTTTGTTTTCTTGGTTGGCAGTTGATAAATGAGTTTTAAGGTGTTCTTGAAGATCTCTTTGACCCTACTTGCAGAGCCACTGGAAACTAACAAATTAAGCTAATTAGGACAGAGCTTTCTTCTTGAGGCGGGTTTTCCCCCGCCTCCCTAACATGCACCAACATTTTCTGTCTAGTTTAATTAATGCAGCTACAGTTCTTGACTTTCTTGACTTTGGGACCCTTTAGGGCCATTTTCCTCCTTTCCTATGGAAGTAAAGAAAAGAGTCTTTGTAGACTAATGTGGAAATATCAGAAGTGTTAATAGATATTGTCCCTACTACTGTTATACAACTCCACAGTAACTCTTAGTAAAAGAGTAGGTTTGCTTTTCCATTAGCTTTATTCCTTGCCAAATCACTATGTTTAGCCAGAGTAATAGCTTGGTAGGCTAGTACAGATCTTTCGAATGAACATTTTAGGCATTTTTTAATATAGTGGTGCCATTGTTTTAAAATGTTCTATAAATATCTAATGTTAATTAGAGGAAAATTGTACTAAAGATTAGTGGAAAAGATAAGACATGTAAGTTTCCAACTTATAGTTGAAATGTGCATGAAAGTGCACAATACTGATATTTAGTATTTCCATAATTCTGCAAGACATAAATACAGTTCATTTCTTTTTATACTTTGATTAGCTTCTGACTGCTTTTAGGAGATCAGTGTGGCCTCACACATACACCTGCGATTCCTTAAAAACATTAACATACCTCAGCTTGTTCTTATGTTTTATTAATCCTCTTCTGTGTATCAGCACAGGATCCATTATGGGACAAATACGTAAACTGCAGCTCTTGATACTTTTATATTCATTGCATTATCTTCTGTATTACGCAGGAGACGAGAGTCATTGTCTGCTTTCTAGTTAGTTGGGGGGGAGGCATTATTCTTCCTCAGTAGGGTACAGGACATTAATAGCTTCCAAGGTCTTCCTCAGAAGCAATTGGTGCAATGTAAGTTACTACAATGTAAGTTCTCAGCCCTTTTAAATAAAAGTGATCAAGTTTCAGCCACTGAGAGGAGAAACTTGTTTTCTTTATTCTCTGCTTTCTGTGAGACTCAGGAGGATTTGATAGAGATATTAACTGTCAAAAGGAATGCAGAGGGGATTTGCTTTGGTGTCAGTTTGTCCCGGCAAATGCAAAAACCACATTGTATAGGAGAATTTCATGTGATAATTTCCTTGGGAGCCTGGAGCCCCACAGCCGGAGACAATGGGACTTGACACCTGGTGACAATTACACTCAGCTTGGATGATGAGTTACCGCTGCTGAACTGAGATGTTGCCAGCCATGTCTGTCACTGTCAGTGACCTGTCTCATGCTTGAAATCGGAGTGTTTTATGTCTTGCCAGATGCAGAGCACACAAAATGTTTAGCTTTTCCTCTCTTCCTCCTCTATAGCCTCAGTAATAAATCAGTTCCTGAATGCAAGTGAAGAATAACAGAAGTATAAAGCTCCACAAACCCCAGTGGTTTTCACCATGTAGCCATGGCATGGGAGGGTATAGGCAGCTGTGTAATTTTTTAACATTAATGTGAACTAAATGTAGTGTTTCCTTTGCACCCCCAGACAAAAGTGCTGAGCTCACAGGGGCTGGTCCATGCCCAGAGTTGATGTGTTGCTTTTCTCCCTCGCTTGCCTACGTAGCTAGCAAAATAAATCCCAGGGACAGACATTGTTCTCCCAGCATTCCTCCCGCTTTTCAAATGATAACAATCTCCTATTTTCCTTGTGCTTTTCAACCTGAAGGCTCCCAAAGGCTTAACAAAACTTGCACCCAAAGGGATCTCTTCATCCCCCTCTGAAATGAGCAGATAAAGAGTAAGGAGCACATCTTCACAGGCAGAGAGCAGTGCTACAAGAGAAGACTGATACATACCTCATCTTCCCAAACAAAAACCCAAGCCATAATTTACTTAGATAGAATGTAATCACTCATTTGCATATTTGACAAGGGCAATGCTGATGATACTTTTTCCCTAATAACTCTTCCCCTAATAACATATTCAGTTCAGGAATTTAGGTTTAGAGTTCTACTTTGATTATCCCATTTCTGTGGTTGGCCAGGACTCAGTCCTGAAGTTTTTGATTCACCCTAGAGTTCTACTGTAATTACTCATTTCAGTTATATTTAAAGAACCGCAGCTTTCAATATTTTCTGTTTATCCTTTGGTAGATTGTTTTCTATCTGAGTTTTAAGAACAGCAGTAAAACAGCATGAGAACATTTTCCTGAGATTAATATTTATTTTTTAAGCATGCCACCTGCTGCTTGTAGTACAAAAGCCTTCGGTCAAAGTACATGCAGATTGCACAACCGTAAGATTATGCATGGGTTTTTTTTATTGCTCTTGGTGTTATGAAAATATTTAAATGTCTGGGTCAAACCTGGGTACATTAAACAGCCATGAGCACCAATAGTATTATCTTCAGCTCCTTGCTATCAAGATAGGATATGTTTTCGTGTAAAGAGACCTAACTTACTGTCATGAAAAGGCACTTCAAAATTTAGTGTGGATTATTCAGATGATTAATGTGGGCCACATGCATCTGATGTGGCATGTGGTCTGAGGTTGATCAATGTTTCTTATTATCTTTTCTTTTCTGATGCAACACTTGTTTTCAAAGTCTGGATGCAGTAAGTGCCTTCAGAGCATAAGGTTGTAATACTCATTTTCATGGTGTTACATGATGGCTGTCTTTTTGGAAAAATAGCCCTTGCTGACAACGGTAGCCTCCAGTAACGCAATAGCCAAAGTCATGTAATGAGCTACAGATTCTAACGGAGAGAGATAATCTGGTCAGAAGAGCGAGCTTGCCTCCCACAGACTCACTGGCTGCAGCTTTGTGTCTGTGAGCTTGGGAAGATGATGTTGCACAACAGGGTCACAACAGGCGGCAGACAGTTTCCTTCTTCCTCTTGGTCATACTGCCTGAGTCATTCAAATACTTTCGTTGACCAACTTACCCAATGCTTTTTCACAGCCTTTTAAGAAGATATGTAAGTTAAGAGGGCATTCCTCCACCTGTTCTATTTTCCCTGTTCAGTTTTTGTTCAAACAAGATCACAGTGTGTCCCAGAAGCCTGTCCGAGCTGGGGCTATGTGAAAGTTTTGCCCTCAAGTGTGAGCTCATTAGACATTTGTATCTGCCTTTTTGTTGTTTGATGCAGCTTGAAATGACTGTACAAAGTTTCACAGCAATACTATGAGCTGGAAAAAAATTGCACCCATTTGACAGATGAGTGAACTAAAGCACAAAGAAGTTAGGTGGCTGTGGTGGGAGCCCTGATGTACAGCAGATGCCTGAGGACAACAGAGAGCTTGGGGACCTGGCTCTCAGCCCTGACTGCCAACCTGCCACCATCTCAGGTGCTCTGCTGAGCTTGAACATTTTCTCAAACAGAGAGATTTTAAGCATTTTGCAAACTCTTTGCTTTCTTTTTTCTTTGTAATGTTATTTGTTTTCATCAGGTTCCCTTCAGATTAGAGACCAAAAGTAATTAAGCTGCCATCAAGCTGACAGGTGCAACATGGAGAAAAGTTTTCAGAGGGTCTCCAGCAATGTCAGACACATCAGGGAGGGGGATTACTGCAGGAGGCCTCTCTGCGAAACTCCTGGCAGGGTAGCAGTTGGTGTCCCTTGCAGTCATTTTTTTATGATGTGGAAAAGTCAAGGGTTTTATGTATTGTTCAATTTGTGCATGTGATGTGGCTCAGAGGTGGGTTGGTCCTGACCCTCTCTGAGGCTCATGCAGTGCTGACAGCTGCAGTGTTCACTTAGGGCCGGGGAAAGAAAAGCTGGTAGAAATTCAGAGAACAAGATTTAAACTCAGACCTGCAGATTCAGCTTCTGAAATACAGATTTTGGCCAAACACCTGTGTATTTTTCATTGCTGTTCATTAAACTTTGCTTTTTCCATTGCCTCTGGTCAGCCAGACCAGGAATTAGTGTAATCAGGCACAGTCCAACTGGTATCAATGAAACATAGCTGATTAACACCAGACAGCAGAATCATGCCCTGTGTTTCAAGGAAAAAGGGGGTATTATTATTATTATTATTATTATTGTTATTATTATTATTATTCTCCCTTCCTTCCTTCCTTCCTTCAACCATTTATTGTACTGCCTTCCTTCTCCATTTATTTCCCACTCTGCATACTCTCTATGCCGTTTTTCACCCTACAAGATGTTAGGACTTTCCTCCCTTGCTGTTCCCTCTTCCTCCATCCTCTCAGAGGGAACACAGCCTCAGTAACATTGTCTTCCATGTCAAGCTGGGAGATTGCAGTTGTTCAAGCAGGTTTGAAACGGAAAAACAGTCTTTATGAGTCACCCTCGTCCTGTTGCCCTCAGCTTGAGGGAGGTTCCTTCTCTCTTGTCCGTCTGCCCTCGACTCAGGCTGCGGGGCTGATGCGAGGCTGCAAACAGCTCCTGGTGAAAAGTCAGGGAAGCGGTGAGCATAAATCTGCCTCTTCACTTCATGCATTCTAGTGGTGGATTGACATTCTGGAGGCACAACGGCTTTTATCATGAGTATGTGAAATCATAACAGTGTAGAACTGTTTGCAAGTGGAATTCTGGAAGTAACAAGTAAACGGCGAAGGAAGCCATCCTGTTCACTTCTGTGATTTTTTTAGAATTAGTTTATAATTTCATACATTGACCTAAACATGAAAAAATTTGACTTTTACTTGTTTGATGATCTCTTACGCCTGGCTTACAACACAAAAGATTATCTGTTACGAAATACACTGGGAAACAGTTCAGGCACTGCTACTTTGCATGTATCTCCTGCAGTGCACAGTGCTGCATCCTTTCCAGCCTTCCTTCTGATCCAGGGAATTTAGTTTGCTGCCTTGCCATTAAAGGAAATAAGCAAAACTCAGATGTACTGTAGGCTTTCTGACATGAACACATATAAATGCTTGATTTGTCAGCTACTGTGCTTATAGTGCAGACATCAATACTATTGAGAAAGGAATAAGAAGTGTTTTCTGGGAACAAATATTTGCTTCTCACTTATTAAGGAACAGGCTGAGAAAATGTAGAAAAACTATCTTTAGAAGGGGTGGAGGGCTATAGCCTACAAGCCATGTATTGTTGGAATTATTTTTTACATATATATATATATGTACAGACTATTGGAATTCATTGCTTTAAGTGGTTTCATTTAATTAATAGCTTTTTATTGCCTACTTTCCCTAACATGAATATTTATTTTAAATACTGTATTAAGTTTACTAATTCCTTTAAAACGATGGAACATTCCTTTCTGCAACGATCTGTCCCTCCTGGTATTATACTGAATCAAAGCAAAGGGTAAAATATTGAGTCAAAGGGAATGAATACCAAGGTAAACAGTCCTTAGTTCTGTGTATTTTGCTGCGGTGTGACAAAAAGGCAGACAGGAACCTAGTTTTCAAATAGGAAAGTTTATTAGGACACAAGGACTTGGCATCAGGCATTATCAGTATTTTCTGTGCCAATGCCCAGGATAAAATCTCCCCTCAGGTTCTGATTTCAGTTTGGGGCAATGTTTGAGGATGGAAGACAATTTAGGAATTTTAAATGCGTGGCATGTGCTAATGGATCATTGAAATAAACCTGTTCTTCAGAGGCTCAGCAGCCTCACATTCCTTTGCAGGTAAGGTCACTGTCAACAGGCTTAGTGTCCTGTATGTCAGGGTTACAGGTCGTTGACACTTTGCAGGCAGCTGAAAAAAACGAACAAAAGGCTGCAACTCCTTCCTGCACCTCTGATATTGTGTATGGTGCAGTTTAACGTTAGAGGGAGGACACTGAAAAAAGGGTGCAAAGAGGCAAAGGTAGACTGGGCTTAAGCTGTGTATATTTGTGAGTGGGTTACTCCCTTTAGTAAGAGCAGAAATCACGCACACCCGTGCACACACACATGCACACACACATGCTTCTCCTTAGCTCCAAGGAGGGATGCATCTGCAGCAGTTTAAAGCTTCGGTGGGTCCTGGCAGTTAGTAAATCTCTCTCAGGTTCTCATGGCTTTGCTAATACTGGCACCCAGTCTAGACCACAGCTGTGCTATCACAAGATTTAGTTTCAGCAAAGTTTCTTCGGAAGGAACTGGTTTATCGTGCCATTATATAATGAGAATAAATGTTCTCCATAGAAAATTCTCATGAAAAAATCATGCCTAACGTGCCCTGAGCATGTACAACTGATAGCTACACATTGTTAAGTCTTGTCAGCTTTCAATTTCTCTTTTTTTTTTAAATGATGACAAAATACTGCAATGTGTTCTCTGTGTGTGGTCAGGTCATTACATATCAATATTCTGGCTTTAAACATTATAATTTTTAAATTAAAATATATTATAATTTTTCTGGCTTCCTCCAGGAAAATAAGAAGATGTAAATTATTTACTGTAACCAACTTGTCCTGCAGCTCCATCTATGTAATTTAGTCACCGACTTTAAAAGCAAAATTTCCCTTTTTCAGTTTATGTTGTCTACATCATGAATTGCCAAACAGGAAGCTGAAATTTCCTTTCTTCAGTCCAAATTAATAAAAATATACGTAGATACTTGCCTATATTGTGCTATACTAATGTTTTACTAACCGCACAAGTCTATATTGCTCATAAAACTTTTGAAGGCCAAACAGTCTATACCATGTGGTCCTATTCCTCAGAATCAATATTGAGCAAATAAATTTATTCTACTCAGACTAATTGCCAGGCCTTTCAGGCAAAAGGAATTCTATGATGTGCTGTGCTTTTTCCAAGTAAAAATAGCCCTTGCTTGTCCTTGTGATTCTCCCACAGTCTGCCATTTCTGCCACATCAGAAAGACTTCAGTGGCTGTCTCAGCCTTTAAGAGCCTTCACAGATGGACCCTTCCATGTCATATGTTCTTTCCACATAACAAATTTGGAGAAGTAATCACAAATATCCCTTTGGTCTCACTCATCACATCTGCTCTGCAAAAACACTGCCATTGCCTCATCCTTCTTACTTCTTAGTCCTTTGATTTGCGTGGATTTGGGAGGCTTGGAACTGTATTTTGAGAGGGCAGCCATGATAAAGTAGCTACAGTATCTTTACCTTGCTTTTCCTTTTTTTCCTTTGGACCAAAATAGTACCTCCTACCAATGGACTTGATTATTGTTTGACTCTCCTGAAAAAAAAAAGAAAAGCTTTCATCGTACTTTGTTCAGGTGTAAACTTTGGAAGGTTAACCTTTCATGTCATCGGTTGTTGTTATGTTTTATTAATGAATATATATTAAATTCTGCGGTAGCTCTGTTTTACCTGTTTATATTGCTGTGTTTTCACTTTAAGATCATTAGGATAGATACTGCCTCTGTTTGTCTGTACAGCAACTAGTACAGAAGATACTGATTTTGATTGATCTTTTGGGGTAGAGGGGTAACGGTAATGGTAGTAACTCCAATCTTACCATGACTACTTCATGTTCATACATGAGAATAACACTATATACAGCCATATACAAGTTATCCACAGTCTGTGACTTGTGAAGGAATCATCTTATGGTTCTTTCTGACCCCCAACCCTAGAAATTACTGAACATCTTTCTTTTAATATCTTAACGCTTGCTTTGATGGTTTCTTTTCATAATTGATAATGGTGCATCTGCTTTTTCGTTTCTTTCTCTCTCTGCCACATGGTCTCACTTTTTCTCATCTTTTCTCATCTTTTCCAGATCAAGGAACTGTACAAAAAGTTGTTGTCCTACCCACCAACTTCTCTGCAAGTGGAGAACTCATTTTAGAAGAGCTGGAGGTTTTCCAGGTTTGGCTTGCTCCCACTTTTACTTTTCCAATGTATATGTTCACACAAACACTTTGTTCTAAGAGACTTTGGCAAGGGCAACTGTGACTTGATGAAAGATCAAGTAAACATGCATAGTGTCAGCTTGATACCCACTCAAAGAGGAATATAAAATGTCCACTGTTATGAAGGCTGTAGCTAGCTTAAGGTAGATTTTTCTCCCTATATTTAAGTTGCTTATTTTTGATATTGTTATACTGGCTAGAAGGATTTTGATAATCACATTTTTACGAGGTCACATCATAGTGGCTGCCAGAAGGCAACTTATCATTGGCATCATGTATTGAGACTGTCGCTATTTACAGATGGAATCTAATATTTTTGTATTTCTTTGATTATCTGATAATCTTCCTGATTCTGAGCTGCAGAATGGAAGCAAACTAGTGTTGGTTTTGCTTAACTCCAGTTCTTCAAAGCCACATGCCTCTGGAGTCAAGAAAGCTACAAGCTTAACACAACATAAGCTGAAAAGAAACACAAACAGCTACAGGGAGAAATAAGGGAATAGCCTCTGTCAATCACTCTGGCATGTAACAGCTTGTAATAACCTAAAGGAAATGTTCATCCTCATGTTGAAAAATCCCTTTCAAATTTTTGAATGGGCTATTCTTTAAAACAGGTAGTCTCGAGGACCTATAAATGTAGATAAGGGTTTTGTCATGGACTTTTCTCTGTTTCATTGAGGGGATACAAAAAGGAAAATTTAAGCTTTTTTACCTAGACAGGCAGCATTAAAAATTTATTTAAGAAAAGGAATACACTCTGTGTTAACCCTCATAAAGGCATAGTTAGTCTTCCTAGGCTTTTGTTGAAGACTTCCCTTTAAAAAAGATGTATGTGAGTAATATTACCTAAAGAGTACCCTTCACCCAAGTATTACTCATTCCATCTACTGAAAGGTAGATTAATACAGCAAACAGGTAGATGGGCTGAGAGGAATCCTGACCCTAAACCTTGTTTCTAGGCCTCTGTGCACAGACTTTTTTATCCTGAACCCTAAAAATCATTATATCGTAGCCTTTGGCATTGCAATCTGTGCGGGCAGCACGGCAGCATTTTGATGAGTCTCTCCATGAGAGGGGGAATGAGATCACTAGCTACGTGCTAATAAATATCAAGAGTAAGCAAAGCACTGATTCCTTTCCAGAGGATAAGCAAGGAAAGCAGAATGTGGCATCAGATCCAATGTGCATTTGACCTTGAGTCTCCAGACAGTTCATGAAATACAACAACAGCTCTAAACGCCTTCAAACCTTTGCCAATTCACATGATTCGCAGCCAGATTTTCTAGCCCTGGCTTCCCTGCTCTGCTTGTAGTCCGGTGCAGTTAATCCCGGCCCACCGTTACGGCTTTTCTTTGTGACTGAGCAAATGCTAAATCTTAAAAAAAAAGCTGAACATTTTTATTACCATCAATTTTATCATTTGTTTGGAAGAGTATAATGAATTTCTTCACTTGCTTAAGGCAATGTATGTGATAATTCCTTTTCCAGCTCTTTAACGTTTGGTTTGGACACAGAAAATAATAGACTGCAGTGATGACACACAGTAGTATACAGTACTGTCTTGGGGAAAGAAATATTCAATAACACACATGCCATTCTTAATATTCTAGTCATTGATAATCTGAAAGTATATGTTGGATGGTAACCAAACTATATGCACTGTAGATAATTTGTAGGAGAAATACAACATATTCTTATCTGCATCATGTGGTAAATATGCATGAACTATTGTATGATTTTTCTTCATCATCATTGTCAAAGAATAAACATTGTTTCTTATTACAAAGTGAGAGTAATGGCTTCAAAACACATTGCTGAGGTAACACAGGTAGGTTAATTTGAAGTGTACAAAAACTTGTTGATGCACATGAATAATAATAATGCAGTTGAGTTTAGCCAATACATTTGGTGAGACATTACTTGTATATATGTCATTTACTTAGTTCTGAAAATAGCAAAAAAATAGTAGGAGTGAGTGATGAAGATTTGAAAAGTTACAGTTTTCTTAGATATGGCTTAGGTTTTATTGAATTTTAAATTTTAATGTTGGGACAGTATTAACAAGAGAGTCCTTGTAAATGTGGTTTGGAATTTTGTCTTTCAGAGTAATTCTCCTATAACAACAATGAAGATTTCATCTAAAAAGGTAAAGAAAAGTGGAATGTTTACTTAGTCCTTATTAATTGAGAAATAAATTGACTTAAAGATATTAGAATACCAATTGTTGTGCAGCATACTAAATATAGGCAGGAGATTTTCCATAATGAATATGGAAAAACTTGACTGAAGTTTGCATGAGCTGTTTATACGCCCCAGAGCCACTAGGATAAAACAATTTCTATTCATTATGTGTCATTTCTAATTCACTGACAGTTTTTTTTTGTTGTTTTGTTTGACAAGTAAGGGGAAAAAAAGTACTAAAAGAGGAAATTTGCCCTCCCCCTTTTTTCTGTAAGTAAGTCCTAAATAGAAATTTTCCCTTGGAAGTCTGGTCAATGCAAAAGGGCAGTGTGGGGTCTGTTGGGTCCATGGTGCAACTGTGCATGTTTGTTTATTAGTAGTAATGATGGCAATAAGAATGATGAAAACAGTCGAGAGGATTTCTGCTGAAATGTTAAATACCCAAACTAAAAATATATATTCCATGGTTTTGCAAGCAACATGTTGCTCAATATTTTATGAAACTACTACTAAGTGAACATTATTCACTAAATTGAATTCAGTGTAATGACAAAAAAGATCAGGGGAGTTTCAAGGTTTTTGTTCGATATTAATTTATATTTTAAGAATAATTGATTAATTGTTTCTGAGTAAAACAGTCATTTTGGCCCAGATTTTGTTGATGGCCTATTCACTTTGAACTTCTTTTGCAAAAGCTCTCATTTATTTTAAAAGCTCGGTTGGCTTATTTTTCCAGGTATATAAGGCTATCAGAATCTGGCCCTAAGCCTCAACATAATCTCTAGGTTTTATGTCTTGGAAATCTGTGCACTGAAGAATCCAACTAGGAACTCTGCATAATATTTATTAAAGTGACTATATGCAGAGAAAATACTTAGTTCAAAGGCTTGAGCCAATAATCCTGACTGAATAAGAACCAAATTCTCAGCCTGTCTGCCCCAGAACAGAACAATGACACTCAATGTCCAAAAAACATTAACATTCCCCAGTGTTTCTAAGTGTTTTCTAACAGGAAGGTAGAAATATTATAGGCCTGTTCACCTGGGAGATTTCTGTTTACCTTGGCTTTATATATATTAGTGGCTCCCCTTTTGGTCTTGAGTTAATTCCAAAATTAATTGAAAGGTTTTTAGGTGTGTTAGCTGAGCCTAAGGTGAAGCTCCTCCACATCTGAAATAAATCTTTCTATTTCCTTCTACAGCAACAGTTGTACGTGAGCTCAGACGAAGGGGTCACCCAGGTATCCTTGCATCGCTGCCACATCTACGGCACCGCCTGCGCTGACTGCTGCCTAGCCCGAGATCCATACTGCGCCTGGGATGGCAACTCCTGCTCCAGGTTTTATCCCACAGGGAAAAGGTGAGCAGCATTTAGCAGCTCAGTGAAGTCTGCAAGGAAGGAAGGCTTTTGTTCTGCTCTGTAGCCTGGGGTGTTGTGATGAAGAAGTGGGATGTCATTCCTTTCAGGAGCATGTACAAACAATACCTCCGTAGCTATTGTGCTTGGCATTGTTCATCACCTAGGAGTGTATGCTGCAAGAGTGTATGCTAAAGAGCTTGCCTTTTCATATTTAAAGTAATGGACTGAAAAAAGGAAAAAAAAAAAAACACAAAAAACCCCACACCTTGTTCCTAGTCATAAACATTAATCCTTCTGTCTCATCCACACAAAATCAGGGAAACATTTGTTCCCTTTGCTTAAATTCAGTTGCTCACTGTGGATGTAATTGTGATAGCCCTAAATACAGCAAAATATCTCTCAGACTGTCTGAGGAATAAGGTCTCTTTTTTGTTTTGTTTTGGTTTTTTGTTCCTCATTTGCTCCTAAATGAGAGGAATTATTTCCAGGGAAATTTTAGGCAAATGTGATTTCCATGTAATGCCTGCAAATTTGGGTTTTTTGACATGAGATTTATTAAAGCAGACAGGGAAAGCAATTTCTCTTTAATTTACAACAGAGCTAATAGTCCATCTCATAATTCTTATGCAAAACAGGAGCCTCTTTCCTCCTCCCAAGGGAAATATTTAATAGCAGGAGGCTGTAGTGAGGTCTTGTATTACTAAGATTTCACTTCATATAGAAGCAAAGCTACAGAATACACAATGAGGTGTTACTGCAGAGGAGACCAACCTTTCAGATGCGTGCCAGCGCTTTACCCGCTAGGTACCACTGTACACACTCCCTGCACCTGATTGCAGATGCAGAAGAGCAGATACTGTTAATGGGCTTTACTCCTTTACCTACACGGGGGGAGACAGTAGGCAGAAACCGGCAAAGCTTGGCTCTGCTCCAGTGGCCCAACCAGCTGATGACAATGTAATCCCCCCGGGATTAAAGGCAATTACTTTTGTTATCGCCAGGTTTTCTCGATTCATTCCTTATTTCAGACTAAAAGGTAAAGCCCAACCTGGCCATGTAGCAATTGGTAAAGTACCTGGAGTTTTTACTGCTTTCATTCAGCATACTCAGCCTCCAGTCTGCAAACTGATTGTTTTCTTCCGTGGAACAAAGGTCAGAAGTGAGGGGGAGGAAAGAAAAGAAAAATCCCCAAGTCTCAGGCCACCTAACTCCTACACTAACATAGTTGCTGAAAGATATAATGAGCAGTCAGGTATACCCAGTCTGTGCAGTTTCCCGTGGATTCCTTGCCATCCCCATTACATACACCCAGGGTTATTTCCACTGGAGCTTGCTTTCATGCTGACCTTTTGTTTGCAATTTGCTTTTTATATCAAACCAAAATAAACACCTAAAACTGTATGGAAAAAAACTGGTTTTCATATGTAAAGAAAAGGAGTTGTCCCTTTATCTAACAAGAGAGAATTATGAAGGAGAAAACATTGGCAATTAGAGCCAAATCCCGTAGTCTAGACAGTAGTATCTGCTGGACACATTTCCTTATTTGCTTCTTTTAACACTTCAGTCCCCGTGGATTACTGCGGTCCTCATCCAACATTGATTTACCTCAAAACACCTGACAGTATTATCTTTATTTTCTAAACACCACCTTCTCAACCTTTTTTTTTTTTTTTTAAATAAATATCAAACTGTAAGTTTACTTTGTCAGAACTGCTTAATGCAAGACACATGCCATTTCTGACAGTGTGGAGCTCAGGAATCCTGAAATTCACTTAGAAATTCTTCATTGTCTCCTTTGACTCACATAAATAGTTCACAAAGGTTAAGATCCCAAGGCATAAGATGAAATACTTTTGATGGTAAACAGCAAAAATATACTTGGAATGACAGAAATTACTCCTTTGAAACATGACCTTTCAAAAAATTTCCTTTTAAAACAATGCTGTGAAGGATCAGGTGACACAGGATTATAAACACTGTCTGTGGGTGTTTGTGCAGTACCTGGTATATCGTGGCCATAGAGGCATCACCCTTCACTCAGCGGTACTGGAGGTCCAGGCGCTTTTTATGCTTTCTGATCTTACGAGTCATTAGTGCATAGTTCAGAATACGGCTGTTACGTATCCCAGCAGCACCCATATGTAACAGTTTATCACCAATATATATTTTTTGTTGAACTTGATAAATATTGAGCTAACTTACAGAATGTTCAGCAAACAAAATAATGTATTTTAAGAATAAAAAATTTGAGTACCAGATTTTTATGCACTGAATTCTGTGAGCTATGACCTCCTAGCTAAGGAGGACGGAAATGCCAGTATTCCCAATCCCAGTAGCTAATTTGCTACAGAATCATGATTTTGCATCTGTCATCCACATAATATAATAAAGTCCCATTTCAAAGTATTCTGAGACTTGGTGAGTTTGAATATCTTTTGGAAATAGTCACATACCCTCAAGTAGAGGACAGAACTGAATCTTAGCTCTACACCATTCCGGATGAATACTTCAGTAACTGTTACCAAGGTGGCTACAGGCACCAAAAATAAGGTGCCTGCCAAAATCAAGGCGAGAACATGCCCTGTAGGATAATTTTCTCTTGGTACATTACATATGAGCACTGGGACTTAGGTGCTTGCCTTTATTGGGAGCTCTAGCTGGGGGTTCTGGCTTTGAATGTTTGGTCTTGCAACAGTGAACCTATGTCTATTTCATGCATCACCTCTAACCTTCCATCTCTATACCTCCATTGCAAAACTACTTTACACACCAAAAGTAGAACCATTTTATGAACTTCAGTAAACTGAATATAAGAATATTTTTCCTCAATATGAGGAAAAAATTCTTTACTCTGAGGGTGACAGCACTAGGACAGACTGCCCAGAGAAGTTGTGGAGTCTCCTTCTCTGGAGATATTCAAAACCCGCCTGGACGCCATCCTGTGTAACCTGCTCTAAGTGATCCTGCTTTAGCAGGGGGGTTGGACTAGATGATCTCCTGAGGTCCCTTCCAACCCCTACCATGCTGTGATTCTGTGATTACCCACTTCAACAGTATCTTCACTCTAGCAAGCCTGCCAAGAGTAAAGCACACTCACCGTAGGTCATGAACTATCCCTACCAGTTGATCTAGTTAAAAAAAAAAACAAAACCACAAATAAAAAAGTGTTTATTTGCAGTGTAGCTATCTTGGAATAACATTTTGTTTTTACAAAATATTTCAGGCGGAGTCGTAGGCAAGACGTGAGACATGGAAACCCTCTGACTCAGTGCCGAGGTTTCAACCTGAAAGGTACTATAATTTAGAAATCCTCACACTATATAAAGAATGCATGGCTTTCCTTTATGTGATTCATCATAACGCACATTATCTGTGTGGTTTACTGGTTAAGTATAATTATTTTCCAAGTCTGAGTTTTGTTTTGATTTTAACATATTTCCTTGCAATTACATGAAACTTGCATATATCTGATAAAATGATGAACCATGAATTACTTAGTTCAGCATATATGAAATGAGAAGCTGACAGTGTTGACCAGAAACAGGTACAGTTAATTTGAGGGCTGTTCTACTTCTAAATCAATTCAGTCCTTATTAAATCCTCTTCATGTATTTAAGTCTTAGACCTCAGAATTATTCTGTATATTTGAGGCCATATTATGTTTTGGAGCATATCTGTCAGCAAACAGCAGGTTATCGATCTGTCTTTTGAGTTATGATTACTGCTTTCTCCCTTTACATGGGAAAATGAACCATTCCAAATGTCTTTATGAAGTCCCTTATTTCCTGCTGTGCAACTGTTTAGTCAGCCTGGCACGGTGCAGGTGGACAAGGGACCAATGCTCTGCCCTCCCAGCTACCACTTTCTCCAGATTGATGGACACCAGTCAAGTATTGCCAAAGTCATAGTAAAAGTAGACACATACATAAAGACAGTTTAATCTTCTTCAACCCCACACATGTCTGAGCTAGGTGGTGGCAATGAATGCCATCAAACCAAGGGCACACATTAGAGAATTATGCTCTTTTCACCTCTGTTTCTGAGCCTGCATTTTGAAGTGCATTCTCATCTGTACCATCTGGAGACCAAATAATAGATCAGATTGTAACTTTTTGATTGATTTTTTTTTGAGTTTAAAAGAACAATGCTTTAAGAGGTTCGGTTAATAAAATTTCCAGTGAAATGGTCTCTGCTGGGTCTTGGAAGAATCTCCTGGATCAAAACAGACCGCAGCAGTGTCCGAGGTGTAGATCCCTCAGCACAAATGTGACTAATCCTGCTCTTGCTACCAGTCTACAGTGCCAGCGGGTCTTTCCTCATGACTCAGTATCAGGTCATTTATATGAAGCTGCATAGCTTGAACAGGTAATTACAAAAGATGACCCCACCATTAGCGTATGCACCTGAACTCTGAGAGATCCATATTAACACTTAGGCTCTGAATCATGAAGCAATTTGAGCTGCATGTCCTACCTTGCAGGCATGTGCTGTGACCACCCACCCATTGTCTGTGCCAAGGGTGGGTGTCTCCTCTTTCAGTGTGGAAAATGTAAGAATGTCAACTGTCTGCTTTCTGGGCTGAGGGGAAACAAATGATTAAACCTTGACAGTCTTGTGAAACAGGTTTCTTGTTTTCCAACCATTTTTTTAAATGCAGATGTATTTATAGTTTATGTGTTTTAACTTTAAAAGATGTTTTGGTGACAGCAGTGGGATATAGCATAGGTAGATGGCAGTTGTTTCCCCAGTGGAAAAAAAGATAAAGAGAAGCAGCAAGTTAGACTCTTTCAAAATATAATTAAAGCCACTTATAGCAAAACTACTGTGTTTGGGGAAAAAATGAAATCTACCAAAAGGAGAAAAAAGCAGAGAGTAGGGCAATAGCAAGAAATCTTCCAAGTTCATCGGCAACCATAATCTTGAAACAAAGTTTTTAAACTTGATAGGTTGCATGCCTTAGGCCTTTCAGTATGTATAAACTCAACATTTTTGGCATATTGCAATTTTTAAATAGATCAAGAACTAAGGGGCTTGTATGATTGCTTTTCAAATGTTCTGTTTAATATTGTTACACTTGTGTTAGTCCTTATGGCTATTAGAGAAATGTATTTGTATTCTCTCAATCTTTTTCTTAGCCTGTATAAGCAGTAGTATTATGGACTAGGTAAGAAATTAGATATACATTGATCAATTAAACATTTCTGTAGTATACCTAGTTCCAGCGTACATAAAAGTAAACGTATTTCAGCTCTGATTCTCGCTGTTCTCCACAGCTACAGACAGCGCAGCTCACAGATAAGGTCCTTCCTAGCTTATGGTCTTTGAATGCAAATTATTTCCATGTAATGCTCCTAAAAATTACAATTAATTTTGGTGCAACCTCATAAATGTGCTAAAAACTTTGGAAGAGTAAAACCAAGCAAAGCCTCCTTCCTTTAGTAGAATAGATTCCAATTTCACGTATCGGTTGATGAAAGAAGCTGAAAAGAATGGGAGATCAAGTAGAGTCTGAGGAAAACTAGTCTTAGGACTGTGCAAAACCAGTCAAATTTTAGACATGTAGACCACTAGGTATTTGCATTTCTCGTATTATTTGGTATCTATTGCTCCTTTGTTAAAAAAAAATAAATAATATATTTCATATATGATGTAAGCTTTTAAAACTGGTAGTGTATTGTTTTCAGAACAAATATTATGATTTGGGCCAAGCAATGAGCATCTAAAAGTTCCTGTCGGTAACTGCCAGTTGTTCATCTCTCAAGACCGTAAAGGGGCACAACAAGTCTAAGCGATGACATACGCTCACCACTTGCCCAGGTGTTGCTGGAGTGCTATAAATCTGTCCTGCTCTCGGTTGCTGGCCTGTCTACATATTCCTTGCCTTTCAGATTTAGAGCCAAGTGCTTTCCTTGCGTTGCAAGAGGAGCGGAGGAGCGGGAGGGAGCCAAGCCTGCCCTCTCTCGCCTCCCTGGGAGACTGCACCAGCTGGGATAGACCGAACCGTCTTTAGGGCGTGCTGCTCTATTTTAAGTCATACAACCGTATTCTCCCAACTCGTAAACTGTAAAGTGTGAAGAAATATATTAAATGCTTCATTCTCCTTTGGATAGTTGAAGACAGGCGTTCTTGTAGTGGTAGAGAATGAGATCATTTCAGGGAACACTACCCCTGAGCTCAGTTATCCCATCAGCAGAGCTTACCAGCCCACAGGTATCCTACTTTCTCAGAACACACCACGCCGGATTGAAAACACTGGTATTTGGAACTGGATGTGCTTCTTCACATTTAATTGCATTTCTTTGAAAACGTTGTGCCCTAAGTTACTTATTATTGGCCAATATCAGGATCAGATATACTTCATTTTACCTGTATTGCAGTTACTTGCTTTCTGTATCAAATCATCATTCACAGTAGCTTGATCTGTTTTCTTTTTCTTTCTAGCCTACAGAAATGCTGCAGAAATCGTTCAGTACGGAGTAAAAAACAACACCACCTTTCTGGAATGCACACCCAAATCTCCTCAGGCTTCCATTAAATGGCTGCTACAGAAAGACAATGACAGGAGGAAAGAGGTGAGTAATGTGAGCAGTAGCTCTGGAAGGGACCTCAGTCAGCATCTAATCCACTCCCCAGATGAAGGCAAGGTAGCGGCTGTGTTTTCACCAGGCAGTCCAGTTACAGTGAAGCCAGAGAATTTGTGTGGATGCAGGACAGTGGCCAGCACTCATATAAATAAGGGCAGACTCTTCGGCATAGCTGGGACTTCACTCCTCAGCCCCAGTGATTTCTATCAGAGCAGAACGACTATCAGAAAATTCCTGTCAGCCCCTAAAGTCAGGGAACTAGTTAATGAATTTTTCCTTCACACCTTACTAATTGCAAACTGAAGGTTTGCAGCACTCAGGACTTCTTATTGATCTGAGGAAATAGGCACAAAAGCAATAACCTGGATAAAGTTCAGGAGGAAGTCAACAGGCAGTAGCCCTTCTGTGCTATTGAAGAGGTAAAGGACAGAAATGGGAGAAATGGCAAAGGTTTCTTTAGCAAGGAACTGGTCCAGGCTAAGAACACGTATTGACAAAAGCATTTCCCCACCATGGTGCAATCACATTTTCCATTACTGCACTCTCTAAGGCTCTCAAGTTTCAGCCCTGCAATATACAGTATGATTGTTTATGGGGAATGTGCCTTCCTTAAGTAATATAAAAGGGGAAAAAATCCGTTTCAAATCCAAGGCAGTTAGTATATGAATAAAAAGGAACATCTTTTGAAAGGAAATGTTAAGTAATATGGTGTCTGTTGATAGATTATAAATATTGAAAAGCATTATTCACATATCGGGCCATCTATCCAAAATCAGAGAGGACTTAACAAGGACTTTCACTGAGCTGTTTTTCTCATGTACTCTTCAAAGATGCAAGCCGCGTCCTGACAATCTAGGTGCAATTCTTCAACCCTTTGCTTCAGCAGAACATCTCCCTTTTTTGTTCTTATGTTCAATAACTGTATTAGAATCAATGCAGTTTTAAATAACAACAGATGAACTAAAGGAATCAAAGGGTTAATTACATTCCAAGCTCTCAGATTTCTGAAAATCTTACCTCCGCAATGTCTGCAAAAGTTTACAATAACAGAATAGCATAATAAATAAATGAATTCCCAAGAGAATCAGGTATAATGCAAAGTGAAATAGAAAAATCATTCATAAAAATACTAGCGCTGATATTCTTTCATAATGGGTTAAATTAGTGATTTTTTAACTTCACAACTGATATGCAAAGGGACATGTGCACAGTCATTTATAATCAGATGATAACAAGCTGGGGTAACTTGCTTCCTTCAGATGATGTGAACATCTCCTGGGACTGACTGTGCAGAGTCTGAAGCCAGAAAGGAAGTAGGAGAGTAGAAAAATTGCTCTTGGTTTCCAGTGAGCCAAGTCCCAGCTGAAGCCACTGCAACAAAAACTTTTATACCAGGCTATAGACTCTGCAGTGCAGATAGAGTTCTTCAGAAGTCAGCCCCAGGAACCTGCTCAGTCAAAATGTTTAACCAGAAGCCACCTTGTGTTCAATGACCGATCAGCCCCTAATTCTGCACCTTTTTCCATCGAGTGTCACAGCAATCTGATGCTGGAAGAGACATTCTCGGGGGTGTAACCCTGACAAATAAAAGTTCATTTCCTCAGCTCTGCTCTTTGAACATTATGAAAACTCTTCTTTCATGTAGTCTCCAGATTTGCATCTTTGTCTTCAACCCAATCAAATCTATTGCAACATAACAAATAAAAATATTGAATTAATTTTCTTTAACACCACTTACCTACCTTGAGGTAAGTTCTCTCCTAACAGTAGCAATAACAGCGGTCTCTGTGAGATGTGATAAAGCAAAACATAGTACCTTCAAGAAACCCTTTAAGAAAGAAAGAGGTGTTTGAAGTGAGACTTACCAAGAGGTCCAATACTGTGTTGTTCCATAACATTCCCTAAAAAGTTCCTTCTGCCTTTTTGCCCTTTAGGTCAAGCTGAATGAGAGGATCATAGCTACTGAGCAAGGACTCCTCATTCGCTCTGTCCAAGACAGTGACCGAGGGCTTTACCACTGCATCGCAACAGAGAACAACTTCAAGCAGACCTTAGCGAAGATCAATTTCAAGGTGTTGGATTCAGAGATGGTGGCTTTAATGACTGACAAGTGGTCCCCGTGGACGTGGGCCAGCTCAGTACGAGCACTGCAGTTCCACCCAAAGGACTTTGTAGGAGCTTTCAGCCACTCGGAAATGCAGATGATTAATCAGTACTGCAAAGACAGCAGACAGCAAGGTCAGCAGAGGGAAGAATCCCAGAAGATGAGAGGAGACTACAGCAAACTAAAGGCCTTGATCAATAGCAGGAAAAGTAGAAATAGAAGGAATCAATTACCTGGATCGTAATTTTATTTTTTAGTAATAGATATCTTTGTCCTCACTGTAGGGGGCTTATATTTGTCTGTTGAGAACAAATTTGAGCAAATCTGATAAAAAGAAAAAAAAAAGAAAATCCAATAAGTCTCAGAAAAGATCCTTCTCCCAATAAAATGCAGTGTAACTTAACTAAAGAAAATAATTCAGAGCATTTTCTTTCTTAGATGCTTATGGACGCTAGGATGGGCTCTGTCCTAGAAGCAGAGCTGGCTATTCATGTTAAACCAGATTCACCTTTAACATCTCAGTATTTAATTACAGCTGAATAGAAAGTATTACAAAATCAATGCATTATATTACAACTCCGGAACTGTACCAACCAGACTGGTGGTAAAAGAATCTGGGTTAAGATGCATGCTCAAAGTAGGATGGTACTAAGATTTCCTTGCACTGCAGAGCATGAGTTTCTTCTTGTTTACTGTTCAATATTGGGTTTACAGCTTTCACTCGTTGTTCAAATCATGTGAATGCATGCTGATAGGAAGCAAGTATAGTAGAAATGTTTCATTCATTCAGAGATCAAATGAAGGAACGAGTAGAAGAAAAACAACAAAAAAAATTATACTTTATCAGAGGAAACACTGATTATTGTGCATAGTATGAGTTGTAAAAAATTCATGAGTTCTGGAATGTAACTTAAAATATCTCTACTCATATTGATTTTTTATTAAAATAGGGTGTCCTATAACACTACATAGCTTTATAAATGGCAAAAAGCTAACATGAGAATGTTCATTATACATACAATTTTGAAAAACACCTAAGTGACTTAGGTATTTTAGCTATTTTTCAAAGAATTACACTCCAATTTTTTTCAAAGGACAGAATGTGGGTATATTTTAGACTGTTTACTCAGAAATTAAAAACATAGATTATCTTTAATCTGTTCCATGATTAAATTGGAGCTGGTCTGCAATTTGGAAACAAATCATGAGTGTCTTTGAAAATTTTAAAACATTATTTTTTAACTGTTTTGTCAAAGTTGCAAATATTTTAACTAGAATTTTAAAATTAAACCATTTCCATTTTCCAGTCTTTGTACCCTTTTTCTTTTCAATGTTATTTTCACAATTTCCTCTTATTTTCAGTTTTCTGCTGAAAAGAAATTCAGGAAAAGAAAAAGAATGAGGGAAAACTAAAACTGAAAAATGGGTTTGGGTCAAAAACCAAAAAGTATAACTGGAGAGGCATGTTTAAACAGAAATATTTTTGTTTAAGAAGCAGCTGTCAGGTCTAATGAAGTATGTTTAGTTGAAAATTGGGTAAATGTGCATCAAGGCACCCTTGAAAAACTATCCTGGGAAAAACTATCACTTTTTTTTTGAGCAACACTAATGCCAAAAAATAGGGACAAATCTTCCTCATTTTACTATGTAAGAGTGTTCTGGAAGCCATTGAGTCTGTTCAAAAGAGATAACAGGGATTTAAAATATATGAGTACCTTGGAAAAATTGTGGTTTATTCCATGATATTTTATGATAGTATATAAAAATATAAACTACTGTTCAGCTCAAAACTGAGCTATGTTCAGCTAAAAAAAAAAAGAAGGTAAATTTGTGGAAAAACGATTGAGTGAAAATAATTTCTGAACCCAGAGAAGATAGGAAAAAAATACTTTTTAAAAGTTGTTAGTTCCAGCCAGTAACGGATGGAGGCTGTATTTTAACATAATTTTAAATATTTTAATGGGTCTTCGTTGAAACTCTTTGGGCATTATTTTGACTCAGCTTCTATTAGAATACTCTGGGAGTAACTCTACAGGGCATTGGAGAACCTCCAGGTTTGTGCCAGTGTGAATTAAGATCTAGTGCAACAGAGGTAACTGGTGTTTACCTGATACCATTTAGGTGTGTCACTTTATCACCACCTGATGCAGAATAGTTGGGAAATGGGCCCCTGATTGATCAAACCACTTAAACACTGTCTCTAAGTCCCTTTGATGCTGGTGGGAGCAATTTGAATTTAATTTGTGTGCTTACTTCAAAGGGGATGGCAATGCCAGCCTGCTCGTACATTGCCATCTAGTTAAGTGCTCACTGGAATCAAGGCCTAAATGCATAGTTCTGCAATATGTAGCTACTGGTATTTCTAAGGTCTTTCTTATGGAAACCATCAGGAAACTTTCTCTTTGACTTGAGTGAGCTTGGATCTGGCCCCAAGAGCTGGCAAAGCAGACTCTGGAGAAAAAGAAAAAAAAAAAGGAAAATGAGATGGGTAAGGGAAAATAAGTTTGGGGTTTTTTTCCCCCAGCTGACTTTCAGTGCAGTAAACTACTTTTTACTTTTTTTTTTTTTTTTTTTCCTGAGGATGACTACTTCTGAAGTGTGTGACAAACCAAAAACGGAGTGCCACAAAATAGAACTACCTCCTGGAATGACATTAGTGCATATACTCTGTATGCTGCCATGCTATTCCTATTTCCCCAGCAGATTCACTGCAGAGTTAGTGTGATATTAATGTCTATTGTGAGGGTCATAATTGCTTCCAGATGGAATACGGTGATTAATAGGTTTTTAAGGGTACAATTTACCCTTTAAGTGGTTAGGTACAGTGATATTTTAATAGGCCCCCATTAGACCTCAGAAATTATAGTTACACTGTTTTCTAATAGAATATTGGCAATAAGGGATTCCGTTAAAACAATCAGCATAGCTCAGAGTTTCATATCATTATAAAATAATATTTTTAAAGCTGCTTCATATACCATTATTATGGTATGACTGTTTAAGGGATTATACTTAAACTAACATTTTTCCTGCTGCATGAAAACTTCAGCATATGTATAATAAGCTTCTGTCAGTGCGTAACCGGTCCAAGCTTCCCTGCTTTAGCAGCCTTCCCCTGTGTATAGAGTAGTCAGGAGCCAGATGCTCAGCTGGTATAAACTAATGTAACTTCCTTGCTGTCCGTTTAGCTACTGTGGTTTATACCAGCTGAGGGTTTGGTCCTAAATGTACAGAATAGACAAACTGCAATTTTTATTTGTTTAAAGTAGCTCCTCTACTGTAGGTAACACCAAAACTTAAGTCTGTAATATTGTTTGTGCTATTTAATACTTCCTATTTTAAGGATTACTAAATAATGTATATAATTTTATTCCTTTAAAAAATACAAAAGCAAAATGACTTCTAGGCATAACTTCACCAAATGTAAAGATATGTTCTCTGCTAAGAACTTCACCGTGTACTGATTTTTTTTGGCTATTTTTATTTTGTGTAGTTTGTAAAGTTTGCTGAAATCTTGACCTAACAATGTGTTCTTTGCAATTGTTGTTACTGTAGATATGCGTGTTTTATTAAGAAAATCTTGTTTTTAAAAGTGTAGGTATGTGTATAAGTTCCTAGCATGATGAAGCTGTCATTACAGTGAATATGCATTATATAGTGTGTAAGAAAGAACAAAATGTAGTTTAACATAGTGCTATTTAATTGAGTATCTAAAATACTATTTGCCTGACAAAATAAAGTGTGTTGCAACAACTTAAAAAAATGTTGGATTTCCCTTTATAGATGTGCGTTAAAAATAAGGAACTTTTTATTTTTTTTACCTGAAAAGTAAGTCCCAAAGACTTCCTTAAAGTCCAAGAAAATACTCATAGTGTCAAGTATTGCACCTGATCAGTTCTAAGCCCTGCTCTGTGCTGAACGCTCAGTCACAGAGATTTTCAGGAGTATGTGAAGAGTCAGAGATTAATTCTTTCAGAAATTATCCCATATAGAGACCTTGCATATAAGCAGGGTAACATTTATTCATTGTAAAAAAAAAAAAAATACGAAAATTCTACTAGAAGTATAAAGTCAACCAGAAATGTCTCACTAAAAAGGGGGAGTAAAGTCTAAATGCTTTCTCTTTTATTCCACTGGGGGAAAAAAACACAAAAATCTCCCAACAAACAAAAAACTAAGCACATTCTGTGAAATCCTGCTGATGACACAAATTGTATTGTTCAGCTTTTTCTTTCAGTGGGGACTGGAGGCATTCTCCAAGCAGCTCTGCAGGGGAGTCAGGCTGGTGGGGCTGCACCGTCTGGAACTGCAGCTCTCTCCCATTTCCTGGCTTGTCCTTGGAGTGAAATAACCTGCCTGACACCTACAGTATGCTCCTTTTTCCTGCATCTATCATCCAAGAAGTGTTATTACTGCTCTTCTTATCATCTGTTTTTCCAGATGCGTTTTAACAAGAAAGCATAGGGCCTCCTCGGTTCTTTGGGATAATAATTAAAAATTAAATGTGACCTTCACAACAAGGTTCTGGATCGTTAAACCCGGATTTTGATTTCCCAGATAGATAGGTTCCTGCAAGGCTTTATGAGGTGTGAGTGGATAATATTACCTCACTCCAGGATTTCCGTACTGGCAGGTTCCTAGATAGGCTGACACTGGATAGTTACCTGCTCAGCACTCGGGCCAGTTTGGGTCAGAAGCTGAGGTTTCAAGCACTCCCACATGCTGTAGGAAATGTTTGGATTAGGCTCCAGAAAAGCTGGGCATTTACAGAGTTTTACGCTCTGAGAAACCTTTCCCAGATCTGATCCTCTGTCTTTATATCCTCCTCAGTTCTCTTTTGCTGATCTTCTTCCCCTTCTCTTTTTCCCCTGCAGGGTTACAGCATGGTTCAACACTTACTGCTTTGATTCCTTAGCTCCTAGCAGTGGCAAAACAAGACACAGGACTTCTGCGGACATCAGATGTGAGATCTTCAAAGATCTGAGCTTTCTCTTTTATATTTCAAATGTCTGTTGAATTTTTTTTTTTTTTTCCCATCTGTGAGCTACTGCTTTCTCTAAAATCTTTCTTCTGGTGACAAGACCTTTCTAAGGTCTCTCTTCCAGTGAAAGCAGGATGCAAAACCCACACACTTACACAATCTGTTGCGCTGCACATGCTCATGCAGGATCCCTACGGGACAGAGCAGTGTCAAATGCAGCCTCCTCTATGCAGCCACAGAAGCCCAGAGGGGAGCAGCGAAAAATGTTGCTTGCATAGGAGGCACTGCAAACAATGGGGTGGCTCCCAATTCTACACGTTGATTGTTGCCTCTGGAATTAATTGAGGCCTCCAGAATTGAGTCAGCAGCTGTTATTCTGTGGGGCAGGCCATAAAAGCAGGTTGAGGCATTGTGGCTTTTGCCTAAAGCAATGGACCAGGTCTCAGGAGACCAATACTTCTCTGTCCTTTGCACTGCAGCTGGCTTGCTAAGCCCTTCTCATGCACCCCGAGGTGGTCTGAGGAGAAGTGACTTCATGTGATATGAGCCCAAGTAAAACTACACACAGATACTCACCAGCAAGTTCCAGATAGATACACGC